TCGTGCAAAGAAAGGTGGCAAGTTAACTCTATTGCCGGCACATGGGTGGCTGTGGTACTGTGAGCTGAATGTTACTATAAGTCCCCTGCCACAATATAAAGCTGGGAAACGGGTTGAGGTGATAGGCGGATTTTCGTTCTTGATAACATGTCACTTCCATTTATCACCATATAATCGAATTTTTCGTCTGTAATGATAGGCCATCATGAATTATAGAGCCATGGATTGGATAAAGATGCTACCTTAAAGACAGAGATGGATTCAATTCCTCCCTCTAGAACCTTAGGTGTTGGTCGCTTATTTTGTGTTCCCTGTCTTCCTATACTGCACTTGACGAAGCTGATGAAAAGGTACATGTTAAGCTTACTTTCAGACTGTATACGTTATTTATCCTGTCACCTCGTCATAGATACCAAGGGGAGGAGTGAGTGAAGTATCCATTTTCGTTCAGATTACCAATGATACTCTGTGTGGAATTATGAGTCGTGCAGTCCCATGTCCTTTTACGGGTGTCATCTCAATGTTATTGTTATCAGTGCGGCTGAGAGGGTCTAAGAGTCGCTAATAGTCATGCCAACTAAAGTCTCCCGCGTATATGAGTGTTTAGGAAGATGTCTGTCGGGAAATTCACAGAAAAAAGTTTCCTTTACAAGCCATGAGATGAAGGTATTGCGGGCATCATCACCTAGTATCGCTAGGAACCTGGCAGTAATGGTTAGCCCTAGATATGGTTATTTAATGGAAGTTACATAACCAATGAAATGACCAATAATATTTGTTCCTGGATATGCGGTCACACATCATTTACACGAGTATGAATAAATTTCCACGTGAATCGTGATTTTTGATGGGATATGTGATTTGAATCCCCACATATCCAGTCACTGAAAATTGTAAGCGCAGCATGTTAGTAAGATGTAGGATATTACCGGAATAGATGTGAACTGAATGATAAGATGGATATGTGGAAGTGTCGTATCATCCGTGTCATGTTTGTCATACCTCACCCAAGTATAACAGCGAAAGGTTTCCCAATGAAGAAGCACCCGTTGTTTTTTTAACTCTTCTTGAGTAGGTAAAAAACTGTAGATTTTCTCTATTTCCGTATCGTTTCAGATCAGAGATTGACAATCCCACTAAATATCCCCAACTACAGTTTCATGTGTCAATATGAACCTTCAACGCAATTATTTGTGTTGTTGCGAGAGTTAATTGCGTCGTGAATGTATGCTGATGCCCGCGTCTCATTCTTCAGTAACCAATCATATACTAGGTGCTACCATGATCCAAGGTACCTACCAGGCTTACACAGTGAATAAATCTGAAGGATTACTACAAAAAGCGTCAACTCTTCTACACTATTTGTCCATATAAGTCGGTTAAGCCAATCCTTTGTGACGGGACGATGCGTCTGACATTTCGTGTATTGATAAAACAGTGTATCCTACCGGTAACGGAATAAATGAGCTAAAAACCTTTCCTGAGCACGCTGCTCGACAATGTCGACATTTATTTGAATAGTTTCGCCCTCATTATAGATAATGTCGTTAAACACAAACCAGTGTAATGTTATCCTGTCATTTGTCTGGCTTTTTGACTCAAAAATTATTAATCATCTTTGTTTTGATCGGATCTTATCATAAACGCTCCGCCTTATTATTGTAGAATGCTGGGGTGTTGACATCACAACGTTGTTTTACCGCTCTTGTTACTTTGTTTCGGCCCAACTTTGGCCCAACGCTGTGAAGCAACTTCTTTTCTTTTGGCTGTCCATTGAAAACGTTTATTAGTTGCTTTAATTCTGTTAGACAGAGCGTTGATCCCACCTTGCTGGGAATATTCTTGTCGATCCTCAGGTATTTAACGATTGCATTTGGTCATCCAATCTTTTCCTGTATAGTACGTATTCCGGGCCCGAGAATTTCCGAACTTTATAGCTCCCCAGCGTCATTGTCGAGGTACTTTTGTAATTTTGATACACCTTTTTGTTGTTTGACAGTGCCACAGATTCACTATAAATCTGGCGCAGATTTATTTTTGATATTGTTAACATACTATCTTTGACTGTGCATGGGAAACTGCGGTAGAACGCAGTAACTTATCTGGATCGCTGTAACTTGGTCCCGTTAAATTGTCTTCTGAGGTCAGACCGAAACACTTAGATTTTGGCCGGTACTCTGCCCTCCTGATGTATGCTATGCCAAAATGAAACGCTCTCAATTATTATCTGACAGCAGCTGTGAGTTATCTGGAATGGTAAAATTTCGAAATTATTATGGTCTATAACAAACGTTTCTATGGTGCAAGTATCTCGCATTATGTACCTGAACTACTCCAAAATCCAAACTATATCTTCTGTTTTCTCATGTCATGTCCATGACTGACATTATCAGCACTATCAGCTCAAAACGAGAATGTTTGTAAAATAAATACCAGTCGATATTACTTAAATTCACCCCTCCCTGTTCATATTTTGAGCGAAATGAATACCAACAACATCACTAAATCTCTGGCTAAGAAGTGTGTGCAACCGCAGGGCGAAGCAAATGCGATTCAATAACCGGGAATGCGGATCACGGTGTTTTCATGATTCTTTGTATTCCCAGAACTCCGCAAGTAAAGCGGCAGCTGGTGGTGTTCCTGCAACAAAAAGGATTGTCAGACATGACTTGCTGTGGGTGAACACCAATGTCAGTGACAACTTGAAATCCTCATTAATTAAATTCCATTGCTTCTTTTGCTTTGGCTGAGCGCTGTGTCAATAGGCACACATTTCCTTCTCTATAACGTTTAGCCTTCAAAAAGATGGGTCTCCCTTCATGAGTTCGAAGCCATACCCCTGGTTGCGCACACTGTTTAGTTCACTGAAAAGTCCATACACCTCTGTTTTGGAATCTAAAACAATTTATCTCCTGTATATTTGCAACTACAAAAACGAACACCGAATCATGTTTCTGGCCAGCCTGTGGACCTGGTCTCTTGATTCCCTTTTATACACGTGTAAACTGCAGATGGAGATAGAGTAGAATCGTAAACTTGGATTGCGTTGTTTCCCTTTGCGTCTCTCAGGCACTTTGTGTACCAAGTGGAGAACGACAAGTTGGGAGTCCGAGACGAGGGTGACATGTACGAAGTCGTGTGAGGAAGAAACGAAAGCTTCCGGGCAGTGGTGGAGCCAGAATAAAAAGACTGCAGAGAAGAGAATGAAATGGCGACATACAACTGTTGTTCTCTGTTCCTCTAGGAACCCAAGAGACAAACAGTAACAATCATAAATCACTCTCCAGGTCCATCTTTACCGAGCGGTTACGGCTTAAGACACTCGAAGTTAGCGAAGTTATGGAGGGCAGTAATGTGAGAAAGGGAGCCGAACGCACTACAGTATGATTTCGAAACACCAGAGGAGTGGGCGACAAGTGGTGAATTGGCATTTAACGTGGATAAATGCTGGTCCACGTTTTCCCATACTCCTACTCCACAGAAAGTTTCCTACTCTGTCTGCGGTTCACACCTTTCTTACGCTGCAGCAGGAAAGGGCATGGTTTAATAGTGACGGAGAAACTTAACACTAGTTCCAGTTGCCGCGGTGACGCCTCAAATGTATATGGTGTATTACAGCTTGTGCGGAGACAGCTAGGTCCCCTCATCCCAGATCTCTTTATGAAACCTTACAAAACGTGCATACAACCCTGCTAGGAGGCCCATAATATTTCCGCTTCAACACAACCGAAAAGAGACACGAACCCACTGGAAAAAGATCAGAGGCGAGCCACATAAAGGGGCTGATAGGATGCACCAAAAACCATACGAAGACAGACTAAAAGGCCTAGACTTATACTGTTCAAGTTACCGAAGGTTACTAGGTGACTGATAGTAGCTTGCAAAATACTGAATGACCCAAGTCCTCCGAACGGAGGAATACTATCAAGTGACTACCGTGGAAATCCTAAAAGAACTGCCCACCAAAGATCAAAAAATTGTGTGCATTCACACTTCTCCCTTCGAGTCTGCGGGCAATAGAGCGCATTATCAGCAAAGACAATCTGCGTCCCATCTACTGAAGGTCTTGAGAAAAGGCTAGATAGTTGCCCAGAGACAGCTTACGCTTATTTACTTGGATACGAACTAGACCGAAGAATTCAACTGTTGTCACAGCATTCCAAGTTACCTCTACGCAAGTTTTCTTCCCACTGCAATCATTTAAGCCCTTTCCCTACCTCCCACTGGCTATGAAGTAGCCTCAACTACCTAAGTTCTACATATTTTTGCACCCATCTCCTCTTACTTGGGTGGAAGTAGATTGCTCCACAAGCTAGCCTTTCTTTGTCTTTTACTCACACACATTTGCCTTCCTAGGTTATCTCTTCATTGTCCTTACCCTTCTCTTACACCCATTCCGAACAACTTTCTGGTGACTCAATATCTGAAGCACCAAACTTAAGGAGCTGAACCTCTCCGCCTTATCCTGTCACAGACAAAGGGGAGACCTAATCATGCTATATAGGATTCTGAAAAATGACTTCGCACTAGATCTATCTTCTCTCTCCCTCCCCAGTAGGTCATAACACCCCAAGGGACATAGTAGGAGGCTACGAAAGTAAACAACTAACATAGTCTCCGCAGAAAACTGGTCCTCGCATCGAGTAACCACCGCCTGGAGCCGACTCCCAGAAGAAGCGGTGTCCAAATCATGAACTGACCCATTTCAAAGGAGATCGAAAAAGCATGGAGATTTGAAAATGATCAATGTAGGTTCTGTTCCCAAAATATAAATATGAATCTGAAATCCTCATAGTCCCAGCCAAACTAACCAACACTCCTATTCTGCATACCATAGCTATAGCACACGAGTGGCTGGGTCTACTGCACCGGAATCCACCGAAGATGTGAAGCCATTCTGCAAGACCAAGTAGCCAGCATAAGGAAACCAACTGGTTTACACAAACTAGCTCAACAGATATTGGATATTGGAAGGTAACAAAAATCGCCAATATTTGTAGGGTGCGCTACTCCTTGCATTTATCAAGATGTTCTACTAACTTCCAATTAAAACAGACAAACTTGGTAAAAGTGAGTATTCTGTCCAAGAACTTTATAAGCTGGTAGTATTTTGAGTTCAGTTGATGAGTAGTGCTGCCTTGTAGCTCTACTCATGCATGAGTTGCCTTCCATAACACTTGTATTATGTCCTTGTTTTTGACACTAATAGTCTCCACCTTTTTAGATGTAAACAAACTAATATAAGAAGTAAATGCCGCTTGATATTGACCACTTTATCGTCTGTAATCTGCTTTGCTGCCATGAAGTGTCTCCTAATTAACTGTCACACCAGCCTTCTAGCACTTTCGGCGCACTTTGGGATTACTAGATACAATTCTGCAAGACAACTTCAAACGAATTCAAATACTTGGTCCTGCTCTCTTGAAAAAAGGGGAAGCCTCTGAAGCTCCGAGAATTCCAGAGTTCTGCCCAAACCTTTCCCCATGAATTCTGAAGTGTACCCAAATGCTTTTCCGCAAAACTTCAAAGCTTTAAAACCCTTCTCAGCTTTCCAGCTTGCAAATTTAGATTGTCTTCAAATTTTATGAAGTCCTCTCGAAGTTTTTGCGCAGTACCTAAATTTAGCAAATTGCTTCCGATTTTAGTTGGCTGGGATCTTTTGTATATATTCCATGTCTTCAATGGTTCTTTTTTCACTACTGAGATTGCTGAGGAAATTTACCAAAACAGATTTCACCTCTGAAGAAGTATAGTTCCAACCTGCTATTCACGGTGTTTAATTACCTACATTACGCACTATTCACAGGTGGTTTAAATATTTTTCTGGGATTTATACTTGGAATGGGTGGTTAGTTATTTACTTCCAGTAAATTGAATTTTCCCCGGTCGGTATCATTGCCGTTTAAGTTACCAAAAGGTGCTCACATTCTCGAACTCTATACCTGCCTCACTGTTGTAATATCTTTGTCTATCGTCTACTTTCGACGGGGATCTCATGCACTATGCTTCAAGTTTACATCTATACTCTGATTTGCTTCGTAAATTTAATCTGGTTGCAATTTTTGTCTTATCATAGTACGTTTCACAGTCCTTTCTAGGGCAATTTATAAGCCACACGTGTTTGTCATGTGCATTATTGATGTCTTCATCAGTATGAATTTTTATTTAACTCACCCAACTGCTGTACAGTCACTTGAATTAGTTCCCTCCACACTTACAGTTGAGACGAGAAAGCTAATAATGTAGTTAAGCTATAAGCCAGACACATCTGTGCACTAGACCATGAAGCGTATCCACTGTAAATGCTGGTGGTATTGTTTGATTGCAGAAACTTAAAATGTGTAAAGTTGGAGTCTGAAAAATGAGTTACCTAATCTTTTCTCCGGATTCCAAAGGAAAACCAAGTAATAAAAAAGATATGATTCAGGCCTGTTAAGAATATCATGGTAAATTATGACGGTGCCTGTGAGAAAGTTCATGTGTAGTCTACAACCATACAATATAGTGAGATAAAGTAAATGTAATGAAGTCCAATGTAGTTAATTATCCATAGAATTATTACTTAGCGCATGTAATGGGAATGATTCAATATTCGAGAAGGTGTATAAAGTCATAGGGAGGATCTTCGCAATGTTTCTAATTGGTGTGCGAAGTGATAAGTGTGTATATCTCACCATAAAGTATACGTTTTGCTACTTGATGGCTTATCACAATTACAGAATCTTGTTCGCTTTTGTTCACCTCTAGTGTGTTCCGATGCTAACACAAAAAATGTGAAACAAAATAGGTTTCTGTTTACAAGCTGAATAGAAAGCTGGCATCTTCGTGGTTCTGTGCATGACTGTGGCGATGATTTTTGTCAGCAAAACGTTTAAGTGAAATAAGCTAGCCTGTCGCTAATGAAGTTAGTTATGCATATGTTCATCTGTAAGGCTAATGTGACTGTTATTCAGTTGAGGTCTGGTCTTGAAAGAATACATATATTGGCCTATTACATGACTATTTTCTTTTTTAATTTCTTCATATTCACCAGCCTTGTGCATAATTTTCTTAGTGTTGACTGAGATTAAATACCAAATACCAGGTGGTTATATTCATATCGGAATCCTCAGTAAGATAAGTGCACTAGCTATTATCAAGTATAGAAAAATTGGAAAAAAGACAACATTATTGATAGAGGCAGAAAATTAGTCTTTCTAAGTCTACTGTTTAATAAACAATAAATGCACATGCACTATCGTTATTAGTTCTGCTTTGGCAACCGAGGTCCTGAAATATTAAACTTTTCCTCTCGCAAAAGTGGGTTGATGTTTAATTTTCCACACAGCTGTTGCAAGCAACCAACGAATTTATGGCTTTGTTGTGTTACAAATGTATAGTTTCTGTTTACCCTGTCGTTCAGTGGTAGCTGAAGAAATTTAGGCGGTCAGACTAAAACATAGCATCATCCCGTGAAGTCTCTGACTGTTGGTCCAGACTATGTAGGGAAATGTAGACTTCTAGTTAGATAGACAAATAATACGAACAAAATCAACCTAAAACTTCGCACACGAGTGCATGAGTTCAGGTTGCCTCACCTCACTTCAGTGTGCAAAGAACGAATTAGTAAAAAAGCGATATCAAAGCAGACGAAAATGTTCGGTAAACGAGAGGAATATGAAAATCAAGACTGTGAAAATACTAAAGCTTCAGAAAAAAGCAAAGGGTGAGTACGTTTTCCTGGATCTTCACTCATTTCACCAGTGGTCTTGAAGTATTGATTCCCGTCATCTGGAGGACCCCAGCTAGGCAATCTTCCCCTCTCTGCAAGGCTCAGAACAACACTCAGAAACTTCATGAACTGGGACCATGTCTTGTTCTTGCCACACAACCTTTTTTCGCCCTGTTTCATCTTCCGGTATCATTACACGCCGAGGTAGACAGAGACTTGAAATGCGCAAAACATGTTCAGTTACTGAAGGTTCACAACCTAATCAACTGAATTGCTTTCCTTGCCTAGTATCTTTAGCTTAATCTCTACAGCTCACATGGTGACTGCGCCGTACTCAAGCAATACCACGAAATCATCTATATCCAAAAGCCGAACAATCTCTTGATATCTACTTTCAACGGCTGTCTGACAACTACACAACAAGACAGCAGGATGTAACGCAGTATACTCGTCCCTTGATAAGTAGTTGTATATCTCGCTGGTGCCACAGATGATGCAAGTTGAAAAATGCCAAATAAACCTTTCTCATCTGAGCTGAGATTTCGTCAGAAACCAACACTTGTTTGGCCTTGTGCAACTCAAGGTGAAGACGCTGGCAAGATGCAGAGTCTTCTGAAAACTTTGAGTGGCAACTTGTGAATGTTTGGGATGCGTTTCTCATCACCCAAATGCAAATTGTTGCTCCAGGACTGATCTTCAGCGATACCTCAGCTAACAAAAGAGAGTGAAGTGGTTGGGTGTGTCGACCACTTCACTTATCTGGGAAGTAGGGTCAGCCCTGTCCTAGTGCCTCATTGGCCGATGAAATTTCTTCACGAATACAAAAGGCTTGGCTGTCTTTTGCCAACTTACACCACCTGTTGCGCCACCGTGATATCGATTATCTATTAAGGATCAGATGTACTGCACACCAGTCCTCTCCTTTCTATTGTATGGCTGTGAACATGGCCACTGAAGGTGGAAGACATGAGAATGCTTCAGATGTTTGACTGCCGTTGCCTTCGTAGTATAGGCCGTATTCCGTGGTTTCACCACGTGAGTAATGCAGAATTCAGGTATAGAGTTTTAGGGAGAAGAGGTAAATCAGTTGATGTGGTTGTGAACCTTCAACGACTATGATGGTTGGGTCATGTATTACGTATGCCTAGTCTCTGATTGCCTCGTCACACAATGTTGGTCGAAGTAGGTCCAGGCTGGAAAAGGCCCGAGGTGGCCAGACTTAAACATGGCATCAATGTATGAGGTCTTTGACTGTTGGTTTGAGACATGTGGGGAGATGAAGACTAGGTGGTTGTGATCCGCGGGACAAGAGAAACCAGTGGTTGGAGACTCTAGGTGATGTGGCTCAGAATCGATGTCATTGGCGCAAATATGTGCACACATTATCCTCATCTTAACACTACGCCGAACCTCACCATTTTGTCATTCTTCCTTTCTCTCTCTTCGTACTTTATATTTTTTTTGACTGAATTTTCTTATCTTCATCTTTCAGTTCACTGCATTTTTACTTGATGTACTGGTATGATGTATGGCAACTCGGACCGTTACACAGTAATGCCTGGTCCTATGCTGAATGACGATGATAGTGTAACTCAACCAGTAAGTGAAGTAGTCGATGCATTCTACTACTTCATTACCTATCCTTAAACTGGAAGTAATTGCGAAACGCATGCCAAACATGTTGCATTTTGACTGCATCGTCACCTAGCAAGACGTCATCGGCGTACTTCAAGTTATCCAGATTGTCTCCAAGGCATAGACCAGTCCTTGTGAAGTCTGAAGTAACTAAGCTTATATTCATTATTGCATCTATAACCAACTTAAAAAAGGAACGGTAACAGCGGGGATCTCTGATGCACAGCGCTAGTTGTTGTCAATTCAGATGGCAGCCTTGCGTAAGCCTTTGTTGTGCTGTATGGATTCCACAAAAAGCCTTGAATAGCATAATGAACTTTTTTGTTATTTTACTGGGGCTTAGAAGCTTCCATATCGTCTCTTGGTTGGCAGAGTAACATGCCACCATCAAGTCAATAAGTACGGGAAGTATCGGCTGCCAGTTCGTATACCAATGTTCCATAAACTAACAATAGGTGAACATTTGATCGATGCACCCTAGTCCATGTCGGAAACCTCCCTGGTGTTCTCAAATTTGCCATTCTCGAACTCCAGCTAGGCGTTGGATGACTACAAAATCAAAGACCTTGGACACGATATTAGTCAAACTGATTCTCCTGTGGTTGTCACAAGAAGATCTCTCTCTTTTGTAGACTGGGATAAACAATAAAGTAGATCAGTCGGATGGGACTATCTCTGATTCCTATAAACTGCTTAGTATCTCTGCTGCTCTGCTTAGTAATGTTTTACTTCCTTCCTTAAACTTTAGGTTGATAACCTCCAAGTCCTGCTGGTTTGCATCGTTTAAGGTCCTCAAATTCAAGGGAATTTTGAGGGGTGACATCTACGTTTCATACATATTAGTGTTGGTTGCTGAAAGACAGATGTTTCTATGGGCCGGTTAAACTTTGCCTCAAAGTGTTCCGCCCAAAGTTGTAACTGCCTGTCCTCAAAGGTTAACAGGGCACCATCCTTTTCAGTGATCCCAATAACCATTGGGGGTATCCGTAATAAGTCTAAATAGTTGCTTGATATTACCTAGTGCTGATACCCTCTTCATCCCTTTCACCATCCAGCACTGTTTACATGTAAGCTGCTTTTGCCCTTCATTGTGATCAGAGCTAGCTGAAATGCATCTTCTTCCATCAATCAATTTGGATAAGATTCTGGAAATCCACTGGCTTTTGCGATCCTTTTGTTGTGGGTTATCAATGGCATTTACCTCTGTTCCTGCAGCAGTATCATGCCAGACGTCCTCAGCAAAAATATCTCTACATGCCCAATTAAATGTTTTAGTATCGGTTGTTTAAATACACATTTGACTTTCTCATCTTCCAGTGAGCACACATAGGCTTCAGTATTATTTCCGCCACCCATTAATACTTAAGCGTACACATGCCCATACGAAAGCGTGGATCGGTTCCGAGCAGGTACTCCGAAAAGAGCGGCAATCTTCCATCAACCCTCCCCAACAATGGCTTATAGCAATGTGATCTGTCTGTGTCCACTATCGCATTGATTTCGCCAGAGACAAAGTGAAACGGTGTCTCGTCTTGTGTTTGAAGTTCTTGTTGGTCAGAAACAATTGATTTTCAGAGCAGAATTACAACAGATCACCATTATCAGTTGGTTGGTATGAGACACTGTAGGCACCCTGATGATAAATTTCTCATTGGTTTATCTTCCCTGTCTTATTGTTGAGGTTGCCCATTTGGTCTTTTTAACCCTCATTCCAACAAGGAAGATCGTATAGGTGTGAACTGCTTGTCATACTCTAGAAACACCTTATTGCTGTCACACTGTTGAGCCAGCATTACGACTTCTCTGTTGAGCCTCCCCATCATAGCGTAGCAATTCACACTATGATAGTAACTGCTTTTTATCGTGCTGCTGTCCAACTGACCTTTCTGGTATGGTAGAATTTCAAGGAACAAGTTTTCCTACCAACCTATCTCCTTGGATCATTGTGATATGCAAGTCCAACCACTAGGTCAAGGTTGCAGCTATTTGTCGGTCTGTGTGACGATTGAAATCAGTGGTTTTAGACTCCAGGTAGTATGGCGCGAAATTGATCTCACTGGTACAGATGCATCCCTACCTAGTCTCTTTGTTAGATGGCCATACCGTATTTCGTTGTTTTGTTTCTTTGTCTCGCTTTTGGTCTTCCTACATCTTTTGAATACCTCTTTTTTCTTTGTTCTTCTTAATACCTTCTACCTTGATATGCTAATCTGAGGTATCACAACTTAAACCGATATGGAGTAATGTCAAGTCCCATGTCGACACCGACTGACTTGGCAATTTTTGGTTTGAATATCTCAAGGTTTCTTCCAATAAAATCTAGTCATTATTTTATCGTAAATTAAATCCAAGTCAGAATGCATTCAATAACCACGTGCACGTTTGTGAAGTAGACAACAAGTCATAGCTATTGTATGACGGCTAAGGGTACTACCTGGCTGTCCAAACCTCGGTACGTAGGGTGTTTGTATGAACCCGTGACCCATTGGTTAAAAGTCAGTCGTCTAGACAATGAACTACAGTTCAAAACATGTTCCATTCAACTGTCTTTCTGTAGGTTCATAACTGTTAATAAATTCAATTCCTGTACCTTAAATGTTTCTCCTTGTTTCGATGTTGTTTTCTCAATGATTCTACCGCACTTAAGAATCCTTCCGATAGTAAACTGGATGACTATTGCTTATTTATGTACTAGTAGGTATGAGGTGTTACACACAGTAGAAATGCGGGGGATACTAAACCGCTGAGAAAGTTTTGATGTATCATCAACTATATAGTAAACTGACAATGTCAAATCATACATTCATTGAATATCCACCCACAAGAGCTAAATTACTGGTGGTGGTTGGCTATGCAACTTAACCGGTTACAGTTATTTCTGAACTTAACTTTTAGCCACACTTATTGTGAGTGCTTAGGGTATTACGGTGTTGGTTAGACCGAAGCAAATGGAGTGGGGACTTTAACTCACTACCCATTTCTTGAAAGTTGAACACTGAAGACAATGAGCCACACCTCCATATAGGCAAAGAAAATAACGGAATGTGATATAACTATCAAGACCGAGGTAGAATATTGATGCCTCTTTATTACAAACCAGTTCTGAGATAACCCATATTGTCTGCAGCCATCGGTTTTTGGTTGTCTTTTGACTCCCTAACAGGAGATGTGACAATTCTTTGCCGGTTGTAGATATGAGATGAGAAAGTGGTAGTCATCTTTTATTTACCGTGCATTATGATCGGAGTTGTCTATGCTAGACCGATTCAATTACGCTGAACCACCATAGTATGGATTATAAAAATTTGAAACTTTTGAAATGTTTTCTGAAATAAACAAGATATTATCGAAAAACTGCTAATTTTTCTCCTAACTGTTGCTTTATTTCAGATGGCATTAAGCAACAAACAATTACGGTGTCTTGAAATCATAAAAAGTCATTCAACACTCTTTGGATTACTTTTATATCTTGTTGGCTTGATATGGTTTTGTCTTCTGTCTCAGGATGAATTGAATCATAAAACATATATGAGCGAAAATGCCCTACTAGTTGGTATGTTCGTTAACTATTTCAAAGTATCATTTTTACCTCTATAGGTCAAGTAGATGAAGTCTTTGATGACATTGCCTCCTCTTTTAAATTTTATCAAGAAGCTAAGAATGCATTCAAGTCAAATGGTCTGTAAGTTATATTAATCTTGATTAATAATTCATGGTTACAAATTTAGTATTAGCCTAAAACAATGGTTGTCCGAACAGCTGTTCGGAATCGGTTTAGAAGTTTATTTTCAAGATTTCAGCTTCTCTCATGATATACTTTCACCTATAAAGGTAATCATACATTTATTTGTATATCTTTTTAACTCTGCTAATTCAGATGGTGAATGGATCTAATTTATATGCCATTATGAGGTCACCAAGTGGTGGTCGAACAGAAGCGCTAATGATTATTACGTCACTGGGTGAGAATTCTACCTATTTTGGGAGTCTTGCCTATATTTTATCGCTTAGCAAATTATTCAGAAGTAACTAAAATTGTTCTAGAGTACTTCATATAATCATTTTTCATCTACAGATCAAATACATTGGGCTAAAGATATAATATTTCTGTTTCCTGAATATGATTATATCGGTTTAATGGCGTGGCTTGAAGCTTATCATGGGACAGCTAATTCCAACAGTAAGTGCTTTTTAGTCGTGTACATTCCTTGTTAGTTAATAGTTTTTCCATTAATAGATGACAGTAACTAAACAATATTTGATGATTTAAGTCATACTGTGAAGTAAAATTGATATCGTTAGGTATTGTCCACTTGCTTACTTACAGATTTCTGTTGACAGGGAAACAGGAATTAGAAAGTACCATCTTCTTAACAAAAAATTACGTAGACTTTTTGGCTGTTCCGGTAACAAGTCTTCACCGTCACACCAGTGCTTCAGTTCAAGCAACGACTTCCCATAACTCAATATACTTGTTCAACACTTCCAAATGATTGTGGAATGATATCTCTTAATTGATGAATTTTTAAAGTTACCTTCAGATCAAGAAGCGTGGCCAATGCTTTGACAATAACGAGTATGAAAATGAAAAAAGAAAGGTTTGAACAACTCATCTGCTATTTTCAATCTCCACTTAGTTGCCAATTGAAATGGATTACTATGTGAAAAATAGTGAACAGAAAGAAAAATGGCATAAAAATTGATACAAGCGTGTTGGAGGATAAAGTGTACACAGATGAAAGTTGATTAAAATCTTCAAAACTTCGAAGATGACAAAGAGTGTTCATATCTGTATCATTATGACCGATTTTGATCGATATCACCAAAACTTGCCAATTATTAATTCACATTGTTTTGAATTTCTCAAAGATTCAATAAAAATCATGGATAAATGAATAACTTTCACAGGTTGATCAGCGATGTTTTTAACAGAATGGAATTTGTAATACAGGAAGAAATAAATGTCAAACTTCCGGTCCTAAAGACTCATATCAGAACAACCAGCACTAGAACGAAACAGCCGTCCAGTGCTCCCAGGTTTCCTTTGTTCCTCCAATTGATGTCAGTCTTCGATGAATAACAACTTGAAATATTTCCAAATCTCCACAACTCTCTCAAAAAATTTAATTGAACTGGTGCTCATTGGTGACTAGCTTCGAGAAGTATTCCCGAAGTTCCAATGACAAGTCGTGACCGGTGGAGTCAAAGCCTGATGGCCGTGAGGACAGATACTCAACGATAACATTGGGTGACGGTTTGCGTTATATCGTGAGCTAACAGAAGTTGGAAATATGGAGCATTAGGTTCTGACCCAGTGGCTCAATGGTAACGCACTGGCCGCGGAACCTGAAGGTCGCGGGTTCGATCTGCTGGTGTGGGGTCGTGGGTGCGCAGTGCTGAGGATTCCCATACTAGGATAAAACAGCTGTCCAGTGCTCCCAGGTTTCTTTTGTTCCTCCAACTGATGTCAGTCTTCGATGAATAACAACTTGAAATATTTCCAAATCTCCACAACTCCCTCAAAAAAATTTAATAAGTAATCCATTAAATCAAAGTCAGTTGTATAGAAATACTGCAAAAGAATGAAATCACTTCAATCTACAGAAATGAAAGAAAACTATTTGTTAACTGTTGTTATGAAAAAAGGACATTGATAACATTTAATAAAGACGTCTCTGTTGCATTCATCATCAACTACAATATCATCCTTAAAAAAACAAACAAATTTAGTGTCATCCTTACATATATTAGACACATAACTTGATATTATATATATCATGAATAACTTCATATGTTTAGATCCCTTGATATATTTGGGTCAAGCAAAATGAACGAAATTTACAGAATAAAATGATATCATGTTTGTATTCATCATGGACTGATATCAGATGGATAAACATTAGAAACCTGGGAGCACTGGAAAAGTGTTTCGTGCTAGTATTGCACTCTTCAGCAGTGCTCACCCATGACCCGTCAGGGTCAGTCCATGATGAATACAAGGCTGATGTCAAAAAATCCCCACAAATCTCAAAAGTGAATTAGTCTGGTGCTCATTGAAAGGTTATTCCTGAAGTTCTCATGAGAAATCGTAACCAATGGGGCCAACCAAGTCGAATATAAGGACAGTTAATCAACAACAACGTTGGATGTAAGTCGCGTTAAATCCTGAACTGACAAGAGTAGAAAATATGGACCATTGGATACCAACCCAGTGGCTCAATGTTAACGTGCTGGCTGCGGTACCTGGAGGTCCTGGTTTTGGTCCCTAGCGGGGGGGGGGAGGGTCACGGCTGCACACTGCCGAGGAGTCCCATACTAGGAAAAACAGTTGTCCAGTGCTCTCAGGTTTCCTATCTTTCTCCAACTGATGTCAGTCCCTGATGAATGAACACTTGGAATCAATAAATCTCCACAAACCTCAAAAGTGAAAATGATATCATTTTATTTCATGTATTCTCTTCAGCTGCATACAGTCTAAAAGTGCAACAGTTATTATTACTCATTACCGCGGGTACGTTGACAACACCTTCGTCGTTTGTAGTGATATGAAACATGCAGGTGAGTTGTTTGACAAGCTCAACAAGGCCTACCATAACATTAGGTTTACAATGGAGTATAAGCATGAAACGAGTTCAGTTTTTGGACCTCAACGTGAGAAGAAGAACTGTTTACAATCTTTGGTTAAACAGTAAACACTTCACAGAAAATTTCTTTTACTGTTAACTTTACTTTTTTTGCATACCTTTACAAATCATGTATATAACATTTCGCTTTGTTTTTGTTTATAGATCTCTTCTGGTCTGAACTTGATGGTAGAAGCGGTAGTATTCAGGCTGGTCTGAATTTGGAATTTGCTGATATGTATCGACCAGTAGTGAATATACTACCTGAGGGTCCCAATGGCTTATTGGCTAATCTAGATATGATCAATACGGTTGTACGACTGGCTGAGACACATTCTGTAGAAACACGTGTTAACCACCAAGTAGAGTAACGTTTGCTGTATATTTTGTAAAGGTTTTAATAGTTTCACTTTCACAGCTATTTAGTTTGATCCTGAAATAGCCGGATAGCTTTTAATTCACCATTATATATTTAGTATGTTTGTAATTGATTTGAATGGTACCTCTCAGACTGCTAGCAATGTTAAATAAACCACACTTTGGCATAAACTATTAGTTGTAACCTTGATTTATTGCAATTGCTCGTTAAGGTTTGAGGTCTACGTAGCTGCGTATTTTCAAATAAGCGTCTATAGTTCAACGGATTAAGTGTCTTATTGTTTTATTATCCTAACGAGAAAAGCAACATTTCCAATCCTAATATTTAAAGGTTCCTAAGCGTTCTGTATGACAGACTGTTTAACTGATTGAGTTTAAATGCTGCCTATTGCCATGATCACGCAGTAGTTATTAGACATTAAACAAGTTAAACTGAGATGATAGAACGAATTTGTAGCTTACGATGACAATGATAATTGTTTGGCGTTCTCCGAGCCTTGAATTTGCTGTTGAATGTTTCATCACCAGTTTAAGTGACTTTATTAGGATTTACCGCATATAGAAGTGGAGCAGTTTTAAGCCATATAGATGTTTGTAAAGGATATTTGCCGACCTTGAGAGGATACCTGTCTTTTTTTACTCGAAGTTTCGCTTTACAATTCTGGATATCGTTTGGCTTAAGGTGTCGACCTAGTGTCTGATTCTTGGTTTGCTCAGTTGATTTCCAATTGCGTGGTCCCTTCGTGGTCGTATATGGGGCCAGTATCCACGTGTCTGTTGATTGCCATTTGACTGCAGTGTCCTGCTTCCGGGATCTTCCTTGCAGCTGTTGGGCTTACTTGTAGTAGTGTTGTCGAAATACCATAACAAACAAGCTCAGAAATTGATACTGGCTTCTAATAAGGACTCAGCCAACTGGAAACCAGTCAATTTGTTATTACTATTATTAGTATTATTATTATCCCCCTGGTTACTAGTTCACTAGTTACTAGCCGGTCCTAAGCCTGGGTAAAGAGGGGAGGTTGGGGGCTAGCAACCCTACCCCTACCCCGTAAAACGAATCCAATCGCTAAAGAAACTTCAAAGCAGAAAGAAAATATAAAAAATAAAAACGAACCTATTCCTCGCTGGAATCGGAGAGAGGAAATGACGCCGGTCGGTGAAAGCCTTCGGGAAGCCAGTCAGCCGATGTGTCTTCTCTCGATGATAGCGAAAGTAAGGATGAGAACATGGAATGTCCGCACCATGTATGAACCTATCAAGGAAATCAGTCAAGCAAACTAATAATCAGATATTAGGTCAACAGCTTATGCCAAATGATAACGACAATTATAAAGGTTAACCTCTGATAAAAAAAAGAAGGACAGGCCACCCCCTACCCACAAGAAAATAACGCTCAGGGTTGGCAAATATCCGTTATAGAAATTCATGCAACTTAAAAATGCTTCACTCCTATGTGAAGTAACCGCCGATAAAGTCGCCTAACCTGATGATGAAATGTCTAACAGTAAACCTCAAAGTTTAGAAAAAACTATACAATTGACATATTAAACTGTTAGCCTGTTTGGTAAGTAAACATATTACCGTGATTTAAGTCAGGTAGACGATTGAGCAGGGTTCACCACCTCTATTGTTAAGGCTTTCGTCATTACGCCAAGTATACTTATACGACTTGCTTCACATTTAGACAAATGAAAGCCACCGCCACCAATTTGTTATAATGACAAATAAATTGATACGTCATATTATGTTCCAGTGCTTATAACTAGAAAATAATTAACTTTGACGCAATCACATGATGCTCACTTCCTACACACCTCACTGTTTAAATTCTGCTGGACTTGTCTATACTTTGTCCACGACTATGAGTCACAACACAAGATGGGGGACCTTGCAACCCTTTATCTATCAGTCTCTGTTTCCTACAAATGTACAATAAGAGACAAAGACTACCGGTTTCCTTTCCTTGTATCTTATGCTATCTGAGACACTTATATAAACAAATGAATTGTAGGGCCGCCATACACCATAATTCATATAAATGAAATATACTTCTTCACAAGTAAAAATGTTATGATTCATAAACTGCTATGGCCGCTAACGGTGGACAGATGTCGACCGTTAACCACCAACCTTCAACAAATTCCTAGTTAGTTCCCGATCTGACTAATTAATGGAGAAGACACGACAGATATATAGAAACGTGTATTGGGGTCGAAAGACCGAAGACCAGAACAAACGAAAATATAGCTAACATATAGGTAATTCGCCGTTTTAAATAATGCTATTGATTTAGAAGTAGTATTCATCATGGACTGACATTAGTTGAGGAACTATTGAAAACCCGGGAGCACTGGACAGCTGTTTCGTCCATGATGAATACTACTTCTAAATTAAAAAATCCCCATTCATCTCAAAAATACATTACTGTATAGTGCTCATTAGTGACTTGCTTCCAGATGGATATCACGAAGCCCTAATGAGAAGACGTGACTTGTTGGGTCAACCAGTCGGAAGTGAAGTGGATGCTAACTGAAGACCTTAGGTGATAGTCGCGCTATGTCGTGAATTGACAGAAGATTGAAATTATGGACCACCGGAGACCGACCCAGTGGCTGAATGGTTAGCGTGTTCGCCGTGAAACCTGGAGGTCCTGAGTTCAATCCCTAGCCGGGTCGTGGGTGCGTACTGCTGAGAGGAGTCCCATACCAGGATGAAACAGCTGTCTAGTGCTCCAGGATTTTCAATAGTTCCCTAACTGATGTCAGTCCATGATGAATACTACTTCTAAATTAAAAAAATCCCCATTCATCTCAAAAATACATTGATGCTATTGATTCACTGTTACATCGTTCTATCTGTCTAACTGTAGACGTGATAAAGTACGTTTTGATTGGTGCCTCTCCACACTAGTCTTTTCTCTCGATCCACTTATCAAAAAGTAATACAGGATACGTTACATTTTCCAATGTTATCCTGCTTAGGAGAGATTTTGTGTCGGTAAGTGAAAGGGTGTACAGAAAGATCACATATATGAGTCAGAGCATACATTTCCTTAGCTTTGTGACCATTCTGTATAAGAGAAGCCTAGTTAAATATCTTAAAGGTAGAGCCAATAGGATCTGCTTTGATGGTTCGATACAGAAGGAGCTAAAACACATTCATAATACGCTGATAGAAATGGATTACCCCCATAGTTTTATCAACAGACATATGAACAAAATGAATAAGAAGTCTGAACAAACGACTGTTCGAAAGGAATCATCAATTATGAAGCTCCAATTTAAAGGGGATGCATCTGGTGAAGTTCTACAAATGCTGTCCACAACGATCAGATGAACATTCTGTGCTGCTAACCTTTGTTTATCATCTAATAGCCGACCGATCACTGTTGCTCAGATAAAAGATAAGCTGCCCAATTTTGTCACTTCTTTGCGTATTCAGCAATTCAGATGCTCCTGTGGAGAAAGCTATACTGGGCGTACAGCTATGCAGCCTAACAAACGTGTCGCTGAGCACCTACCGTCATGGCTAGGAAAGCAACAAGTGAAGTCAATATGAAGTTCAATTCTGTCCCATTTGTTCGATAGTGGTTTATAGGAAAGACTGATGTCGAAGTAGACATCAGTGTATAGGGAGGAAGGAAATTTAAAAAATAAGGTTAGTCAAGTTTTAGAAGATGTCAAAGAGTGAGTACATCTGCACCATTGTGACTGATCTTCAGATATGTCAACACAAGTCCTCAACCACTGACCTGTATCGTCTTATAGACATCAGCCAGGTAGTATACATTTCTCCAAGTGGCTCAAACCAAGAAGCAGGGACTTCATGGACTGGCGCCACATTTTGATCTGGGTATCCTGAACCCTATTCCAACTGGTAAATAATACTGTTTCACTTTCTGATACGTTTTATAAGTCAAAGAAAGTAGAGCTTTACTCTACCACAATGCCCAAGTTTTACTCATATCAATGTAACGACTAACTAGTGATGGGTTTTCGTTTAACTTATAAGTATATCACTGAAGGGTAGGGTGAGTACAAGAGCGTGTATGAGTTTGGCATAGTAATCTGCTTATCCAATACAAGTGTTTGGAAGAGGAAAACGTGAGCCACTAACTCAGGATACACAAAAAAAGTATTTGCATTGAATTATAAAAGACATTAAACAGTAGTTTATAATGCACGAATTATAATGAAGGCAGTCCGGAAATCGGGTTTCGAAACGCATTGCTCATAAGTTTTTGTCAATCCATTGTATATTATGTGGGTTGACTAGCCTATCTGTATGTTCATAAGAGAAAAATTATCAGATGTCTGAGTGAATAGATGCAGCATATTTTAATTAGTAGGAAGTGCTGGACCTAGATATCGTGCTTTTTGGGTGTCATCAGTAAGATGTGTTTGCAACTTCTGGGGAACTGATGTCCCCTGTGAGATTTGAGTCCACCTTATTCAGTGCTGCAGTCAGAGATGTTACCATTGGGTGACTTGAGCCGTGATTGGTTTCCCATAGGACTGGATTAGATACATTAATTAGTCACTGTGGAGCGACTGATTGCCATCAACCAACTAGCATCTTTCGAAGTACTGTGGTGAATCTTGTGGTCACGTAACAAAATCCTTGATAGAATTCGTTCAGTATCCACGACCACACTAGATGAAACTGACTACTCTCCAGGGTCCAGTCAATAAATACATGTTTTTATTTAATGATTCATGTAAATCATGATCATTATTCCATTGTATAAGAAGGTTTTGTGTGTTTGAGTTACTGGTGTGTATCAATGGGGTGACTTTAAAGACCACCCTAGCAACTGAAGAGACAACCAATTACGTCCCTTTTATAGACAAGAGCTTTCCTACGAGAAATGCCGAAATCTGATTGGTCTATTATGCTGTCGCTAGGGTGGCCTTTAAAGTCACCCTTAAAGTCAGTCGTGTTAACATGAAAATGTAGATTGTTTTTCTCCTAAATTTGTACATCAGTTAAATGACCTCGGGCAACTTTAAAGGTAACTCTGGCAACCGGTGAATTAACCAATAAGGTTTCGGTATTCTGGCTAGGAAAGTATCTTGTAATAAAATATCGAAGCCTAATTGGTTATCTCATTAGTTGTTAGGGCGTGACATCTAAAATCACTCGTAAATTCACTCAAAACACTGGAGTAACTTTGGCTGACTTTAAAGGCTATCCTAGCGACGATCGAAATAGAGTCAATTGGGTTAATCCACTTCACCTAAAAAGACAAATTTCAGTAAAATACAGAAGTTTAATCGGTTATTTCAGTTGTTGCTAAGGTAGCCTGCAAAGTCACGCAATGACAACAGATAGATTATATTGAAGTGCTCCATTTCAATATTTAAGTGCAAATGGCTGAAGTAAATTATTTATTCTGTTGAAAACATGTTTGTTTTGTAAATTTTTTGTTTGTTCCAATAGTCTATGTTTATTTAAGTAAATTGAAAAACATCACCTAACAGGTTGATATATATGAGTTTTAAACCGTACTCAAACTGAATTTTGAACGAAAGTTATTGATTAATGTTGGTCAGCTGAGGAATTCAGGATGTGCTCTAAAAAGGTTCTGGCTTGGCAAAATCTTTTGCAAGTCTTTCTTTTACATCATTCTAATGAGTTAGATTTTTTCTTTTAAACCGAAATTGTGAATACGGAATGGGGAAAAACAGTTTTTTCTTTGCATTCCCATTGTGTTAGAGAGTTGTTATTGCTTGTGTAGAGGGATGAATTACAACTTACATACCCATCCTACTTAATTCTCCCTTCTATTCATTGCGTAATGTTAAGGTTGAAGGATACCCTAATCTTCTAATGTTTTTCCTTCTCTGTATTCCGAATCATCAATGTTTAATTCAGTTTCCTTTAATCGTGGTCTTTTAGCATGGATATAGTTTGCAATTGTTTCAGCATTAATTCATACACTTTACACACTATCCTTGTTTTTCTCCCCCTTTCATCAAATTTCCTACCACCTTGAAGTGTAATCCTACTCTTGCACCATTATTACATCATGTAATTTTATTTGTGTTTACTTTCCGATTTTATAATCCAGCTTATCATCTTGAAAAAGGTGTATTTTGTTTGTTCACTGTATTGGTTGATTAGATCATGAACTTCGTCATTCATATTTGTTCCCATATATATTCATATCTAGACGTGAGAAATATAAGTGAAAATGGATCCCATTTTTTTGAAACTTATGGTCTTCCTGTTCGAAGGCTAGTCAATAAACTCACACGACTTTCACAAACTGAAGCACGTTTCACAAATCATCGTATTTTCAATATTCGTTGCATGAAAAATCAAATTATCCCTAAATATCTTCGCATACGAATCCCAATATATACTGACAAGATCGAAAGGGCAATAGAACATGTTAGCAAACTATGTCTGAAAGAAGAAATTCACAGGATTATTAAGAAATTAGGTACCATTCGGAATAAAATTGAACAACTTAAATGTAAAATTATGAAGATAGTAAACTGCAGAGACTGCAGGATTTATAATAGAAACGTCAGACAAAGCAAGATTAGCTTAGCTACTTTAAAGAAATCTAGAAGCAATCAAATCAAAAAGTTCAATAATCTAATGCAAGAAAAATATCCTTCGGAAAACAATGAAATTACAAAGGAAACATCATCGAACATCGATAGAACAAAGTGGGTAGTCAATCTCTCCTCGAAAGCCTTAAGCTCACGTGAGGAATATATTTGGTAGAGATTTTACTCCTGAAATTTATTAAATAACTTATTCTAATTACTGGTATACAGTAGTTTTTTAATTCTGTGAGTGAGTGTTTCAAAAATTTAGGAATGAATTCAATTCATCCCACAGTGTTTGTTGCATAAACTTGACCAAAAATGTGATTTTCTAAACATTAGTTACTTATAAGTAATATAGTCAAAAACATTGAGAAATATTACACCTCACATTCATCTAAAGTTTGCGGAGAGGTTTCCACTTATTGAATTCAATTCTTGAAACTTTTCTATATTCACTATTTCAGTCATATAATTATGCACGTGGGACATATAAAACTAGACTGAATGACATGCTGGGGGTTATTGAGGCAGTATGGACTCAGTCAACTAATTCTCCAACTGGTCTACACGGCCCACTGATCAATTATCAAATTCCTGCTATCAGTTTACGTGCAAATTATAAACACCGATCAACTGATCTGCATAGTGCAGAAATTCTATCTGTTATAAGGTATAACGTTTTTTAGTGTTTTCAGTACGTAGTTTGCAATGGTTCATGAATTTTGTTGGGTGATTGAAGGTGATTAGTAAGCGACTGTGGACCCTATTTTGTCGTTTTTTGCACGCATCATCAAGGTATATTTCTAATCTCAAGGGTACTGGTACTTTTTCAGAGTTGCGAGGCCGCATCATCCATTGCTACAGTCAGGGACTCTATTTGTAACCTCAATCATATCTGATCCTATGCTTTGGACTTAATCAACAGAGTTCGGTTCCAGAACTTCTTGATGACTAAACTTATTGCATAGTGAAGTAGCACTATTCACTGGATAACTTTTCGCACACTTCCTGAAGGTTATTTCCAACAGTTGAACACTAAACAAAGTGCTCATAAGATAATCGGCCTACTAATCGTATGGTCATATTCTATTGTTAGTTGGTCAACGCCCAACATAATAGTAGCACATTAGGTTGTGGCATTAGGTACCAGGTTTTTTAATGTTAGAGACAGCTTTTCTTGTCATGTAAAAAAGTATAAACAAAACTAGATCCGAGTTGCGCACTATAAACGTATATCCTACAGAAACAACTTTTAAGGTGTGGGCAACCGGGAAGTACCAAGGATTCGTATGCTTCTAGTTAGTGTACAATGTCCAATCAAACAAAATCTATGCTCCTTACCTCTTTCTCCTCCTTTGCCTTCACCATATGATACCAATATTAACCTTCTTACAACTTTATTAACCTCTCACTGTGACTATTACCAACGATCAAAGCAATCGAAATTTCATTCCTGGTCTTCTAAAACCCAAAGGTGGATTTCATATTTGAACTTCCAAAGTCTGAACCCTATGGCAAATTAAACAGCAAGCATCACTCACCAAGCCTCTGGAATCTGTGTTCCTAAGATGCGTATATAGGACTGGAGTGTAGTTTTTCAACTGACTGCACCTGACAATTGTAGTGTCTTCGAAATTCACCTCACTAGTATCCGCAGACCTAGTGACTAACTCTTGTCGACTCTCTGGTGTAGGTATAGCAATAATTTTTTGAGTACAAAGTGCAGTTCCCCGCTTCATATCAGTCAACAGCCATCTGTGTGCCGTTTGACTTAGTAGATCTGTAGGAATTAGGAAGAATCGTGAGACTAACCGATGTCTCTTCGTAATCTTTGCCTACGCTGTCAATTTTGCCACATCAAGCAGAAAGTTCGATGGTAGTCGTAATACTAGCCAGCTTTAGCACTGAAGTAGAAAAACTGAGCTAATCGGAAGGGCATCTTGGTTGAAACTACAGAATCTCATGTCAACGAACCAACAACGGTGATCGTCTGTTGCAAATTTGTTCTAACAATCACTTTTTTCTGACCAGCACTAACTTTAAGCATAAGGAGAGGCACTGTCTCATACCGTACACCAACATCAAACCAATGATGGACACAGATAGATCCTGTCGTCATAAGCCATCGTTAAGGGGAGATGGGTGTGAGATTACCGTTCTTTCTGAAGTGCCATTTTGACTCCAGTCATGCGTTAGTTCAGGTATGCGTATGTCTGCATCTTACTGGTCGCAGAAAACATGTAGCTGTTAAGCTTGTGGGTGTTCATTTGGAAAATGAGATCGCCAAGTGCGTATTTAGGGAGAGATTCGTAAGCATTTATATGAAGATCCTAGCAATCCTGATCTTTAGTAAACCTGGCGTGATATTAACTCTGCTGTAAAAAAAAGGTAAAGACAGCTGTTAACCTACGTCCAAAAGTTAACAAACGTCATTGGACTTCCACAACGTCATCTAAACCAATCGATGCTAAAAGACTGATTCCAGCTGGCTCTGACCACGATGAAAAGCGAAAACAACTCAAACATATATTGACCAAGAGTTTTCGCATCCATCGCGAACAGTGATGCGTGGCGAACGAGAGGGCGAAAGGGATGGAGAAGACTTCACCACTAGAAAATAATGATCAACTATTTAGACATTATGGATACTGGCAAGAAGACGATGGTTAGTGAGATCATCATTGAAAAGAATGGTACTCTGCAAACCTTTCGGAACAGACGGTTAGAACATCGGGCATAACACTTTAAAGCACAGTTCGACTGATCCTCAGCAGCGCTTCAGTTGCCCAGTATCCAGTCTCGGTCTGATTGGGACATAGATGTCGGTGCTCCAACTCTCCTTGAAGTTGAAAAGGCTGTACCGAACCTGAATAGCTGCAAACCAACAGGACCTGATAGTTTATCACCTGAGGTTTTCAAGGGTGAAGATGGGAAATTGTGGATTAGAGTGACGGAGATACTAGGTAGCGTATGGGAATCATAGGTAGTGTCATCAGATGTGTACTTCACTGGTCATCCCAGTCTATAAGAAGGGAGAGAAGTCTTCTTGTGACAACCATAGGGAAGTTAGTTTGACTAATATTGTGTCCAAAATCTTAGGGTCTATATTTATCCGGTGCCTAGCTGGAGCTTGAGAACAGCAAACTCGAGAAATCCAGATGGGTTTCAGACAGATCTGGACGAGGATACATCAGTCACATTCTAACTCTGCGACAGGTCTTGGAACATAGGCATAATTACCGGCGACCGATGCTTACCATAGTAGTTGACTTGAAGGCGGCATTCGACTCTGTCGACCGTGAGGTATTGGGGCAGTTTGTGGCTGTGAAGAGAGTACCGCGAAAGTATATAGCGTTAATCAAAGCTCTCTACTCGAACTGACGCGGCTGTGTAAGTCCTGGCTTATAGAGAGTTGCCATGTGAATTGATGACAACTAGTTGTGTCCGTAAGGGATGCGCACTATCATCCTCCCTATTTGAGTTCGTTATAGATGTGTATGTACTAATGGACATATCCCTAGTCACGTCTGAGTTTACAGTGATTGGTCTGCCCTGTTAAAGGCATCTAGTTGATTTGGAGTATGCAGACGATATTGTCCTGTTAGGTGAAGAGGCTGACAAAATACAGTGTCTCGTGAACACGTTGAGTAGAAATTTGAGTATGTTTGACATGCGTTTCGCGCGTCGTCAGTTGTAAGATGATGCTCCTCTACGTATAATGCTAGGGGTATTTCGACTAGGCTGGAAGAGGAATCATGGTGACCAAATTAAGACGTGGCATCAATGCATGAAGTATCTGACTCGTGACTTGATCAGTGTGGGCATATGTAGACTACGTTGCTGGGATCCGCGAAACGATATGAATTAACGGTTGGGGACTCCCGGTGACATGGCTGAAAATCGGTTACAATGTGTTCACTGATGACTTCTCAAGCTTGAATATTCTGACTGACCTCAGTTTTTAAATTTCTTCTCTCCCCATACATCTTTTGCCACTTTGACGTCAGTCTTTTCTATCTACTTGTTCTTTGTATACTATTGTGAAGTGTGGCGACTTGAACCGATGCATTTATGTGCCAGGCTCTGCGTTGATCTGCCTGTTTTTGCCGCACGTTTGGTGAGACTTGTCCTGAATAACATTTCTCATAATGGTAGTCTGTGACATGTAATTGAATTTCGACAGAATCTCATTTTCTATAAAGTTGGGAATATCTTTTGATAATGAGTATTATGGCTTGGTAGACATGATACAACTTCACCATGAAAACTTCCATTACGTCAAAACTACCACACTCTCGCATCTGTAAATAAAGATACCAGGTACCAAAATGAATGGTAGGGGAATAAAAGGAGTTAATTAAAGTCATCGAAATTCATATTCCCTATAGTGGTTGAAAATAAGGGTGTGTCAGTAGTGAACACTGTCGTGATGGTGCTAACTATCTATGCCTGTTAATCGTATGTAATTCAATTTTACAGGGAGTTGGTGGTAGTTTCCTAGGTATTCAGCTGCATTGGGTAATATAAGTTCAACTTTTTTGAGGAATATGATCTTCCTGGAGTTTGTTATTATATCAGACTCAGGAATATCGATTCACATCAAGTACACAACGAAAGCCGTGTTGGCCGTGTTTTTATGCACAAAACTAGATTTTTATTAGGAATAACTAAGTCACTTCTTATTGTTTGATTTATTTCAGGTTGCTTGAAGGTATTCTCCGTTCATTAAACAATCTGCAAGAAAGACTGCATCAGTCTTTTTGGTACTATCTTCTTCCCAATCCATATAGATATATATCAATTGGTGTTTATATGCCACCGGTCTTAATAATGATTTTAAGCCTCCTACTAAAGGTTAGTTATTTATCAACCCCCCCGTCCTTATAAGTAGTTGATTTCGCTTTGTTCCATAGCCTGCCAGTTGATGATATCTATGTCATTCTGTAGTTTTTCATTTATTTGTAGTCTAGAGTTGCTCGAAATGGTAATTTCGAAGCCAAAATTTTGACTTGATATCTCCACATCAAAAATATAATGGTGCTGTCCATTTTTCTATATGACTCTGAAACCTAACCGTTCAGGGTAAACGACATGATACTAGCTTTATCAAATGATGCGGTTGACAAACCTGTTGCATATCGCATGTACCTAGTTACCTGGATGACGGTTGTTGATCAGATTATGGGAGGAGTAGAAGAAACTACATTTTCAGACCAATACATTGGAGTAATTTTATACTGTTGTGAGATTTTATTTATTCAAGTCTGTTAAACGGTATAGTTTGTCGGTTATAGACTTCGATTGACTCGGTTCGAGACCATTCTCAGTGTCTTTTAAACTGGTTATCTTTTTGTCTTGTCGTTGAACCTAGTCGTTCTAATTAGTATCGTTTACCAGACAGCGTAAGGTTCTCTTAACCCTGGATGACTGTTTCCCTAATTTGGAGTTCAGATTGTCAACTCTGATAGCTGAATTGTTCAAATAAACCCCACAACTGACCAAGCTACTTAGAGAGAATGTTGAGAAGATATTCATCATTCTTGGTGTCCAGCTGATCACAGCGTTTAGTCTAAATATTTAAATTCTGAAAGGAAATTTCATCATCAGATTGTACTCTCATTTACCTCATTCTCACCTCGAACTGAGGATCTGGTTAGTGTTCTGAATGGTTTCAAACAATTTACTTTTATTCACTAATCAATCTGGATAAACTTATGATGCCGTTGGACTCTACCATCTATTTGGTGTTTAAAATGACCTTAATTTGACTAGCGAATGATAATGATAAGTATGAGTTGTTAGCAATGGTTGTATATATCGTAGGTATTGACTTTTTGATACCTAGGCTAGTCTAATTCATGATCATTTTAGCTGAAATTGAAGTAATGTTTTATGGATTCATTTAGAATATCATGATCATCTGAAGTTAGGTACTAAGATAGAATTATTATTATTTGTCCTTTGGCTTCCTAGTGGAACATAGGGCTTCAGTAGCACGTCTCCATTAGACTCTGTTCTCTGCAGTCTTTTGAACCTGGCTCCACGACTGCCACAAGCTTTCATTTCTTCCATGTCACCCTCGGACGCCTAACTCGTCGTTTCCCATTTGGATTCCACTCGAGAGCCTGTCCTGGTGCGTGATGTCCCCATATGGTCTTCTCAGTTCATGTCCAATCCAATTCATCTCCACTTTCTTCTGCATCTTTGTTGGGTGATAGGTTGTTGGTCGCTTCGTTCCCAGAGTTCCTTGTTGCTTATTCTTTCTGGCCATCTACCTCATCTTCGGCAACGAGCGTAGGCAGCTGTTGATAAATGTCTGTAGTTTGTGGAAATGCTTTTCGTGATGCGCCAAGTTTCCGAACCATATAAAAACACCGACTTGACTGAATTAGTGTTGGAAACCCGCATCTTGTTCACACTTTATGCTGAGTGGAGTAGATCTCCACACTGGTTTCAGGTTAATGAAGGCCTGTCTTGCTTTCTTTCCGATCCTGGCTTTGACATCCTCGTCTGTGCCACCTGTAGTTGAAACGATGCTGCTAAGGTAGATGGGTAGATGAAAGAGACTTCTTCCTTTAGGTTTCTCCCGTCCATGGTGATTGGTGCCTCTTGTTGTTGATGTTGTTGTTTGTTAAGTATCTTCATCACCTCCGTCTTCTCTACATTCACTTAAAGTCCCGTTTTCTCTGCCCTGCCTCTTCTGCCAACTTGTTAGTTTTCGCCTGTGTATCTTTGAGTTTGTGTGACATTAAACACAAATCATCGGTGAAATCCAAATCTTCTAGGGTCTTCTCATCGGACCAGCATATGCCCATCTTCCCAGTCTTCGCAGTTTGTTGCATGATGCAGTTCAGTCGACGACAATCAGGAAGTTGATCGGTGATAGTAGGCGGCAACCTTTCCTTACTCCTCTCGCCTGTCTTCACTTCAAAGGTGTCACTGAACTTCCCATTGTGAATTACTTGGCATGTGGCGTCGTCAATATAGCTGTTGAATGAGGTTGATAAAGCTTTGTGGTACTAGAACCGTAGTGTTGAAGTAACTACTAAATTATTTCTCAGCCGACGCTGTCGAAGGCCTTTTCAAAGTCGATAAAGGTGAGGTAGAGAGTTGACTGCCATTCTATACTCTGTTCTGTGACGATGCGTAGCGAAGCGTTGCAATTTGATTCGCATATGATTTGTTCCTCCTGAATCCAGCCAGCCAGCCTGTTCCTGTCGTAATTTTGAATCCAGAACACCTTTTAGTCTATCCAGGATGATGTGGGTTAATATTTTGCTTGGGGTGGACAGGGGTGGAGCATGATTCCTCGCCAGTTCTTGTTCTTGTAGAGACTTAGGTCTCCCTTCTTTGGAAGTTTGACAAGGTAGCCCGTCTTCCAATCAGTCGGCAGGTACCTTTCCTTCCTTCGTTGTAAAGCTTCTGCAGTAGTGGTGTGAGCATGTCCGCTGTTATCTCTGCATCTTTTTCAGTGCTTCTGGTGGAATTCCATCTGATCTTCCTGCTTTCTCGGATTTCAGCAGTTTCATGGCATTCAGGACTTCGGGTTTTGTTGGAGGGCTTGTGTTCACTGGTAACTCTTTGGTTGCTGGTGGTATTTCTGGCGATTCGCATGTGATAGTGGTCGATTCAAGAGTTTTTTGAAGTGGTCAGGTTATTGTTTCCTTTGTTTCTCCTCTTTGGTAACCAAGTTTCCTTCATCATCTTTTATTGGTTTCATCTGTGTTGATCTCTTCCCAGATAGTAACCTGGTTGTTTGATTTGATGTTGTCAGGTCTCTTCTACCTGCAGCCCGTTCTGCCTCACTTGCAAGTGTGTCGTAGAAGTGTCTTTTGTCTTTGCGCACACTCTTCTTCACTTCTTTGTCCAGTGTATTGTTTTTGGGTTGTGTTCAGTTCATCTTCTTGTTGTTCATCCTTGCACTGTTTCGTCTTCTACTTTACCATGTTCCTTTCTTCTATCAGCTTCCACGTATATCAGTGGAGATCCATTTCTTTTCTTGTTTCTTTTTCCTTCGAAACACGGTTATACAAGTTTCCTTCCACGTCTCTTTCAAATAGTTCCAGTGTTCATCCACACATGTTTCTTCGAGTATGTTGCTTAATGTCTCTCATTTTTTCATGATGGCTGACTGACGTTAGGATATCTCTTGTAATTTTGTCCTTCATTTACTGTTCTGGATGTTGAACTTGAACTGTGGTCTATCATCAACTTCTGTGAAGGCTTTAAACTTGATTTTGAAGGTTCCTCACACTAGTTAGTGAGTGGTTGAATATACATCTACTCACCTTCCTGATCTCCTGTCCAGTAACCTGACTGAGTCTCCACTTTCTTCACATTCAGATAAAGTCGATTTGACTTTCACGGTAGTGTGTCCCGGTGGCTGGTCAAATCAAATCCATGTCGCTGCCTTCTGAATATCCTTGTGTTTGTACACACTGCCTCACTCCAATCACCAAACCGTTGAATGTGCAGAAATCTGCAAACAGTTCTCCATTCTCATTCATTTCACCGAGCGCTTCCCGAACCATGATGAGTTCTCTTCCTGTGTTGTCCGCTCCCAGTTTGGCATTCATGTGACCCCAACGATTACAATTTTGATGTCGCCAACTGAGGTGGGCTCTTGTTCACTATTGAATGCATTTGTCTGTAGAATTCCTCCTTCTTCTCTTCATATGCAATATTTGTAGGTGCGTAGCGTAGCGTAGCACTGTATCATTGTAACCTTCCTTCCTCTTGAGTTGGATCCATCTGACTGTCATTATCCTGATGCTGCAGGAGGAGATTGGTTCCCACTGCATGAGAGAGAGCCATTGATGCTGTTGGAGACATGATGATAGCCACTCGAAAACTCAGTGTGCTCGTGGTTGTCGTTTGGGTGACGATATCGGAGTAGATTATTGACTCCTCTACAGTTGACAGTTTGGAGAGTCCACTTCTATTCCATCTATAGACTCCTCGCAGATTCCTAGCACTTCTATGCTATACTTCCTCATCTCTTTTGCAATCTGGGCAGGTTTGCTAGGTCCAAACATCGTGCAGACATTCCATGTCTTCATGTTTACTTTTGCTTTCGTCGAGAGGAGAGAAGACACATCGGCTGACCAGCTTCCGGAAGACTTTCACCAACCGGCGTCATTTCGTCTCTCCGATTCCAGTGAGGAATAAGTTTGTTTTTATTTTTTATATTTTGTTTGTGCTTTGAAGTTTGTTTAGCGATTGGCTTTGTTTTACGGGGTGGGGTTGCTAGCCCTACACCCAACCTTCCCTGTTTATCCGTTCTTAGGATCGGTTAGTAACTAGTGAACTGGGTAACCAGGCGAGGTTACTGAGATAGAATAGAGATGAACTGTATTTATGAATTTGTAGGCAGAAGAAATCTGAGTCACAAGGTGATTCGAATCGACTAGGTCACAGTTACACTCTCTGATCTGTTAATACTTGAACTACTTGAAATGACCTTGTTCAGTTAGCGTAATACAGCAGAAACAGTCGTACCTTTTTGACTTACATGGCAAATATCTTAAGGAATTGCCTACTAAACTGTAGTTAAGATTTGTTTATCAATGGGAGGTGTCTTTGTTCACTCAGTAGATCTTTCCACAAATAATCTAGGGCAACTATCGGTTTTAATAGATCCACGATGTGAGAGAATAGGTTCAATTCGTGTATGCGATAGGTCCAGTGCCCTTTGATAGTAATTCGATTGACAACGACGCATATTGAAAAGACCAAAACACGAATGTTTGCGAACGATCTATTTCAAACGCACCTTGAGAAAGCAGGCCGAAAACCAAAAGAAGCACGAAATGTACAAGGATTGAAGAAAGTGTGTAGAATGTTCTCAGGCATTCTTGATGCAGATAAACATCTCAAAAATGTAAAATGCCTAAAGATTGAATAATACGTTCGAAGGAACAAATTGAGGTTACTACACGAGCCTCCTTCTAGAACACAGATATTATTGGTAATGTCTGTGTTCGATAATTAACGTAACAATCATTATGCGTGAGTAAGATTTTGGGCACTTTCGATACACAAAAAGTACACGAGAGAGTAAAATGAATGGAAACTGTGGAAGATAAAATAATATATAGTTACTCGCAACAAAATGTATATGTTATTACTATTTATTGATATATTTGTAATTCTCCGTTGTTTCATTGGATTGAATTGTTCGACCTCTGTTGGCATATAGGCTCTTATGCGGATGCCTCAATATTACCTGAATGTCAATTATGGTAATTTAGTTGGTTTTAGCTAATAGAGGAATCTAGAATACGCGTTTCGTCCTATTTAGTACAGGCATATCCAGCTGGCGAGTCCCAAATGGGACGAAACGCGCGTCCTGGATTCCTCTGCTACCTGAAACCAACTAAAAAAGTATATGGTTATAAATAGTAAATGAAATAACATAGTATATGATATTCATGGTTTAAGTATATGTGTAGATAAAAAATGGTTTTATAATATAAAGCGTAAAATGTTTACTAAATTGAAATGAATAATATTATGAACTTATAGGGAAGCACAGGTATATATGATTTTTCTTTCAAAAAAACTATATACAACTGTTTGTAACGATGTCTAACGTACAACTTGAGATTAATTATTGTACGGATAGAAGAAACAAGTTCAAGGGTGAAAAAAGTGTTGTTGTTATCCGCGGGGCTTTGTTAATATAAAAATGCTCACTGTATTTAAAAACATTCAATTTAATATATATTAACAATAAATGAATAAAGGATGGAGGTTGAAGGGATTAGAAGTTAATTGTTTCTAAAAAATCATTTAGGCCACTGAACTTTCCTCTCTGATTCCGTGCGGTTTTCTGTGTTAGCGGATGGCGGTTTTTCACACTTTTCATTTGTCAGCGTTTTTATATTTCTGCCTGTCTATTTCGTTATCAACAGGTTTCATAATTTCCGAAGCAGATTCCAAAAAAGCTGGTTTGAGTCTGTCGACGCTAACCATTTCATATCTTCCGGAGTGGTCTGTGGCGAATGCCTTGTCTGTTCTTGTGATAAAACGGTAAGGTCCGTTGTAAGGAGGTTGTAACGGTTTGCGAACCCAATCGTACCTGACAAATACGTGTGTACAGTCTTGAAGCGTTGGAAATGTGGACCACTGAATTCCAAACCAAGTGACTCAATGATAACCGTTTCACGTGTTCCGGAGCGGTCTGTGGCAAATGCCTTGTCTGTTCTCGTGATAAAATAGTAGGGTTCATCGTAAGGAGGCTGCAACGTATATGGTTACAAATAGTAAATGAAATAACATAGTATATAATATACATTATTATTATTATTAGTCCCTTGGGTTCCTAGTGGAACAAAGGGCTTCAGTAGCACGTCTCCAGTGACCTCTGTTCTCTGAGATCTTTTGAACCTGGTCCCACGACAGCCCACAAGCTCTCATTTCCTCCTCGCATGACCTCCTCCATGTCACCCTCGGACGTCCAACTCGTCGCTTCTCATGGGGATTCCACTCGAGGGCCTGACGCGTGATGTCCTCAGTCGGCCTTCTCAGTGCATGGCCAATCCATCTCCACTTCTTCCTGCATATTTGTTGCGTGATAGGTTCTTGGTTGGTTCGTTCCCAGAGTTCCTTGTTGCTTATTTTTTCTGGCCATCTGATCTTCAGTGTCGAGTGAGCGTAAGCAGTTGTTGATGAATGTCTGTAGTTTATTGGAAATGCCTTTCGTGACGCGCCAAGTCTCTGAGCCATACAAGAGCACTGACTTGACGTTGGTGTTGAAAATCCGTATCTTGTTCCGCATGCTGAGTGCAGAAGATCTCCACACTGGTTTCAGGCTAATGAACGCCTCTCTTGCTTTTCCGATTCTGACTTTGACGTCCTCGTCCGTCCCGCCTGTAGTTGAAACAGTGCTTCCTAGATAAGTGAAGGAGGTTACTTCCTTCAAGTTTCTCCCGTTGACGGTGATTGGAGTTTGTTGCTGTTGTTGATGGTGGTGGTGCGGTATCTTCATCACTTCTGTCTTCTCTATATTCACCTGAAGTCCCGTCTTAGCTGCCTCTTCTATCAACTTGTTAGTTTTGCCTGCAGATCTTCAAGTTTGTGTGACATTAGGCATAAGTCATCGGCGAAATCCAAGTCTTCTAGGTTCTTTTCCGTCGTCCAGTGTATCCCCCTCTTCTCGCTCCCCACTGTTTGCTGCATGATCCAGTCGACCACAATCAGGAATATCATGGGTGATAGTAGGCAACCTTGTTTCATGGTATAAATATATATGTAGACAGAAGAAATGGTTTAATAATATGAATTGTATGAGTTGGTTTTCTGTACACTGTAACTGAAATTACCTAAATTTTCGTTCAACTGCCATTTTCATGTGTTCATAAACAGCAGTCTATCAATAAAATGCTTCTTCAAACTCTGTTTGTTTCAATTATTCTTTTCTTCTTATTTCTTGTGCATACAATAGCCGCTCCTGTTTTGGATATTTTCAAGTAAATCCAAATTGAATAATCTACTGACTATACAGAAGAAATTAGACAAATCGAAACAGTGTAAGTCATCTTCAACTGAATCTGATCGTCATCATTATCAGCGTTCTGATGACAAGAGTGGTAATGATCAGAATAAACTTATTCATGATCATCAACTAGTGGATAACCAATCAATTCGTCAGCGTAAAATAAAATTGACAACAGAACAAAAGGATATGAACAAATTAGAAGACAAACAGGTTGAAACGGTAAGTTTTCGAACTTGTATTTTCAATTGATATGTTAGATATATCACACAGTGAAACATCTGACAAGTCAAGTAAAACAGAATGACACTCCACCACAGTGCCCAAATTTGAATTTATTCTCCTTTTTTATATTTCTATGTTTTTTTTTAATAAATACCTGAAGCAGACGCCTTTGAAGTGAAGACTAGAGTAAGACAAGGCTGCTTACTACTACCCATGATCTTCCTGATTGTGGTGGACTGGATCATGCAGCAAACTGTGAAGAATGGGAAGATGGGCATACGCTGGTCCCGTGAGAAGACCCTAGAAAATTTGGATTTCACCGATGATTTGTGTTTAATGTCACACAAACTCAAAGATACACAGGCAAAAACTAACAAGTTGGCAGAAGAGGCAGGGCAGCGAAAACGGGACTTTAAATGAATGTAGAGAAGACGGAGGTGATGAAGATACCTAACAAACAACAGCATCAACAACAAGAGGCACCAATCACCATGGACGGGAGAAACCTAAAGGAAGAAGTCTCTTTCATCTACCCATCTACCTTAGCAGCATCGTTTCAACTACAGGTGGCACAGACGAGGATGTCAAAGCCAGGATCGGAAAGAAAGCAAGACAGGCCTTCATTAACCTGAAACCAGTGTGGAGATCTACTCCACTCAGCATAAAGTGTGAACAAGATGCGGGTTTCCAACACTAATTCAGTCAAGTCGGTGTTTTTATATGGTTCGGAAACTTGGCGCATCACGAAAAGCATTTCCACAAACTACAGACATTTATCAACAGCTGCCTACGCTCGTTGCCGAAGATGAGGTAGATGGCCAGAAAGAATAAGCAACAAGGAACTCTGGGAACGAAGCGACCAACAACCTATCACCCAACAAAGATGCAGAAGAAAGTGGAGATGAATTGGATTGGACATGAACTGAGAAGACCATATGGGGACATCACGCACCAGGACAGGCTCTCGAGTGGAATCCGAATGGGAAACGACGAGTTAGGCGTCCGAGGGTGACATAGAGGAGATCGTGTGATGAAGAAATGAAAGTTTTTGGGTAGTCGTGGAGCCAGGTTCAAAAGACTGCAGAGAACAGAGTCTAATGGAGACGTGGTACTGAAGTCGTATGTCCCACTAGGAACTCAAGGGAAAAGTAGTGATAATAATATAAAGCGGACAGTTAGTTCCTAGTACCTTCTGAATCCCACCAACATATTTTTGCAGAAAACGTAATTGGACAACCTCACCTATTATTATTATATGAAGACGATTGTTGCTACTTAGTTCTCGCACCTTAGTAGGCAGAAAGTAGTTGAAATTCACAACCTGCTGTTTTCCAGTTGACTACCTTGACCGCTCAGTTCCAGCTCTATCGATTTACCGTTACAATAAAATGGTGTTGTTCATGTAATGTAATTATATCGCCTTAAAAGTTTCAATGCTGGACTATGAGTCACCCCTCACCCCATCCAATTATGTGTAGGATAAAAGCTGCTTGTCTTGGCTGACATTATTGAATAATGGATTTGTTCCCTTGACTCAAGATGGTTCATATTTTGCTGGAGAAACCGCCGAACTACAAATCATATCCCTAGTTAAAGTCATTGATTAGTTCTGCTGTAGCAGATTTAGTTGGATAATATTTAAGAATAAAACCGATCACCTCGCTTTCATGTTAAAAATTTATTGAAATGACTGTGTGTTCAAATGCAATCGATAATTAAAAGTTTAGTGAGTGAAAGTTACCCTTGATCTTTACCTTCATTTTTTTTCTCTGTTTTCCATATTGGATCAATTACCTTCCAGCTGGCTTGTCATATAGATTTTCAAATTCATCTATTTTCCGTGTATTCGACTTTCTATTTAGACGTTCATTGTTGTGATTTTCTCTTCCTGTGTTCTCTACCAACCAGCTGTATCAGTGTTCAATGGTGTGGATGATTTCATGCTAAACGCTTACCACGTAAGCCGACTGTCATAGAAATCAAGTCTCTGGATTCGGCGATATATTGCTTACTTTAGATCTTTTTCATTTTTTTTCTGATGATTAATCTTTGAGTCAGTTTTGTAGAGGAAAGAACCGTTTGTTCTTCTCTTTTGATTTCTTCTTTTAACTAAATATCAAAGCCCAAAATACTGAGTAATTTTTCTGGTGTTTTGTTCTTTGAGCTAGGTTGTTTAATCGTGGAGCTTTCGTTGTCATTCTAGACAATATCATCAGCAAAAACTTCACAAAGAAGTAGTGAACTATAGTGTTTTCTCCACAAGTGGCTTAGTAGATAGTTATGATAGCTTTGTGTGTGATTCGTTGTTTCTGCCAAAGTCTTGTCACTGTCTCCATATTTATTTCGAATGGTTGTCCTGCTGACGTAAACTTTGACCTTGTTGTTGTTTCTTATTGGCTGATAGACTAGATCGATGTCGATGTGTGTGTTGATAGCTGACAGACTTGAATACCAACCTTCTAAAAGTTCCCTGGTATTCCTTATATTTCCTATATCCAGGATTGCCACATTTCCCCGTTAAATTCATTTCTGCAGTTATCCGTATGCATTGATATCAGCGAAGATAGGAAGAGGGCGACCACTCTGTTCGATGTAGTGCTTTTGACAGTTTCTGCAGTTTATTATGTGGATAGTGTTCGGTTTGTCTTCCTTTGCCACTGGATCTTTCGGCCTGCATAACTGAGAGTGAAGAGATTTTGGGAAGTTGTGAGCTTCTGGAATTCTGAAAGGCTTCAATAATCTGGTTTTGATGTCGGAGACGTTATTCTTGTAGTGTAAGACAATGCGTGTGTTGGTTGTCGAGGCTAACTTCTTGGTTGATAACGAATAATCGAAATATCTTTTAATGAGGTTGCATGGATAACTGTTCTTCTGGAAAACAGTGATCAAATAATTTTCTTTTTTCCTCAGGGTTGAAGTATTACAGCGTGTCTTCACTCTTATGAACAACTACCTTTCTATACAACTGATTTTGTGTTGTGTTGGAATGTTGCAATTGGAGCTGAGGATTTTATGGATATGAGTTGGCTTTCTCTACACTTCAGTTTCCAATTTCCTCGAATCCGTCCTATTGATCAGAATAATCTAAAAATGCAATTTCTTATTTGATTCCTCTTCAATTGTGAATTTCATGCAGTTTGCGGAAGACTGAATAGCTCTTAATTCACTCCGTTATTTCTTAATAAAGTTGTTGTTTTCCGACACATTCAATGAAAGACTTTGTTCTAAATGATTTCCGCTAGCCACTCTGTTTAACTGTATACTGGATTTATCTTTCATGTATATTGGGAAACGTTTCTTTTGTGTTGTTGTTATACTGAGCATTTCACTCTGTATGTGGATTAAGTATTTATACTGTTATAGAATGAAATCAAAATATCGAAGTATATCCATAGAGTCTTTCGTGCAAGTAACCAGCACTATTAGTGATGGATTGTGTCTAGCAGTGGAATCCAGCTTGGCTCACGTTTCATCCTATTCCGGACTCGTCAACTGGTTGTACAAGCAACAATATTAAAACTTTACTCGCCGCACAAAAAGCGATCATCGTGGTTCGATGGTCTAGTGGATAACTCTCAGGCGTTTGAAGCAATCGGTCCTGAGTTCGAGTCCCAGCGAGAACAGCTCTCACTGAGAGGTAGGTACATCCAGCTGATGAGTCGCAAACAGGACGGAACGCGTATCCTGGATTACACTGCTAGCCATTACCCATCATTAATATGTAGTTAAAACATAGGCAGTATCTAGGCGTCCACGCAGGAGCCCATATATCTATGGAGACCAATCAATTCAGTCCAATCAATGACAGGATAATACACGCAACAACATTAACTACCACTATTGTCTGTTGTCTTTTCGGTTATTAATTAGTAACTGCTGTATTCATTAGTGATTCCATCTTGTCTTACTCCTACTGTTGTGTGCTGATGTCATTTCCTCATGACTTTCTGATTACCGGTTTTTTTAAGCGCAATAGGGTAGCACAAAATTATTTGGTTATATTTTAGACTCAATGATAGTTGTGTATTATGCTTGTGGATCTTTAGTCCACAGACTTGAACATCTGAATAATCAAGTACTATTGTTAAAACATAAAGAGTGAATACGTCTCATATCATTGATCTGGTGGATGATTTTAACGCCATACAATTACTCGTGTATACTTTTTTTAAGTTTCAAACAGTAGTATTATCCAGTTAGTTGACTTAGTCTGTGAAAAATTTGAAGGGTTTCAAGAGTCGGTTGAAATGGTTCTTGTTATTTTACATAACTATAGAAGCCTTTCTATTGAAATGTCGAATTCGGTTACCGTATCTTTATACAAAAGCAACGAAAGTTGGTTACTTTCTTTTAACCGCCGTAACTTTTCATAACAGATAGTAATTCTTTTTATATCCATCATACGCCAACTTCTACACTTTATTGATATTATCATCAATTCGATATCTTTTGAGATATATTCAAGTAATTGTTTCCCCTCTTTTGTCTCACAGAATAAATCTAATTATTCAGTATCATATTCCAGCGCTATTCCTCCACACATACTTGGCCTAATCTTACATCTTAGTTTATGCTTTTCAATGGGTTTCTGTCTTCATTCTTCACCGAAATATATTTTCAAGTTGATCAACTTATTGATTGAATATTCGTTGGTTGATTCAACTATAAACCCAAATGATCTATTTTTAGTTGGTATCTTTGGTTTAATCATTTTGATGGCGGTGTTTTTACCAATTGTCATGCGCATTTTACAACGGTAAGTCCTTAATTTTGTCATTAACTACTTGATTAACTAGCTAATCAATTTGCTTTTTGTGCAAATAATGTTTTGTAGAGAATTGAATGACTTGAGGGTACTTTTCAACTTTACTTGACATCAGTTGGTGAACCATTCTAGTTTAGGACTTTTCATAATTACTTAGTATCTCTACTCGATATAGACGAGCTTACCGCGAGCCTTGAAATCTTGTGATGAATAAATCATCTCGGTACCTATTACTGATATCATCACTGTATCTATTTCAGATACTGCACAGCTCTAAAACAAGTTATTTAATCCCAACGTCTCCATAAACCTCTTTATAAGACAACGTGTCAAAGATTGTACTGTTTCATGAAAAGTCAGTTTTCAGGAGATCCCTCCGATCGTGGTCACTTAGGAAAAGAAGAAACGTTCTCTTGTCTTGTTGACACTGTTTCTATGAGTAATTCTTAGTCATGCACTTGGATATGCGACGTAAGCATTTCATTGGCGGTTGATCATTAATCATTTAACCGCATCGACTTAATGTGTTGGGACCTTTAAATGAACAGTACTGATAATAGACATAGAATAATAATTAAGTAAGATATCATTCATAACTACGAACTAGGCTGACATTTAATCCGTCAGATTCCTTTTTCGTTTCAACATGTGTCCTGCTTAGAGGTCTATCAGTTAATTTGTGCTCTTTGTCCAATTTGTGATCGTCCTCCTCTAAACGACTTCAGCTGGAATCGAAGTAGTGTACAAGGGACCTAAGAATAATAAAACTAACAGATTGAATTCATCATTTCATGAACTTCTTGTTTGTTTTAGCTGTGTGTGCTTCATATGTTGGGGTCTGCAAAGGAATCGAGATTGATCATTGAAAATTTCAGGTGATAAAACCGAAAAATGGCTACAACAACAGATTGATTGACATCGTTAGATTTGATTATTGATAATAGTAAGGTGTATCGTTTATCGTTTGTATTCCCATGTTAGTTGTAACTTCTGCTTAATTCGCATATATCATGAACTATGAACATGCAGAAACTACAAGTTCAAAAGTTCAGTTTGATACTTTTCAATACCTTCGATACAGAAATACTTATAACCACAACTAGCCTAAGTGTGAAGTAGTTATAAATTGAAGATAAATGTCACCGGTAAATTTTATTAATCGTTTGGAAAGTGACTAAGAAGCAGGTAGTATCTTAAAACAATCATTTCTCCCGTGTTTTTGACTCCTCACCTACTCTTATCTCAATGAGTTACTATAGTATGCTAGTAAGATTATAGGAGCCTAAGGAGGTAGACTACCGGCAGAGTCCTTAAGTGTTAATTTCAGCTATTCAAGGAAATGTGATCTTCTAGGTTTTGGAAAATCGGTTTTGGCCTTCTTGACAAAGCTCAAAATTACATCGGACAGAGCTTATTTATTTCATCTTGTTTGTTAGTAGTCTGAAATGATTGACTGTATCGAGATGCACGAAACGATACTTATTGTACTGAAATATTCAAACTGTTTACAAATGAAAGCTATTCTTCCCAATATCGCACGCTTTACCTTGCTGCTAGAATGATGGAAAGAACACTTTGAAGAGTAACTCATATGGTCTTCAAGCACTATTCGGTAGCCTGCAATGCAGTCTGAGCTTTGATGTAACATTGATATCAGGGATACACATCTTCCTGAAGTTAACAAGGTTGTGGGTAACGTGATGCAAAAAAGAGTAATGGGATGTGATGGACTAGCACTTAAAGTGTTTAAGAATGGTTGCTTTGATTTGTTGGTTAAGCTAACGGATATGATCCGCCCCGAATAATTTCAATATTTGATTATCGTGGTCTTGAAGAAAATTCTCGTAATAAATACAGAGGGATCACCCTGATGAACATGATATGTAACCCACTGGCTTATATGATCGCTTGAGGCTTGATTATATCAGGGGAACCGAAAGCTCAAGAGATTTGGACAGGTAAATTCCAAACCTGGCTAAGGGCTTGTCGTACCAATAAGATTGTCGCCATCCATCGAATTTTGGAACGCAGTCATACTTACTGGTAGGTAACACTAAGTGTACTTGTTGTTGTGGGAACAAAATTTGATTGCGTCAGTGGAAAAGTCTTAAGATAGCATATCTCGCTGAGATAGGCATGTGGGAATTACATCATGCTACCGATGAACCTTTGTTGGAGCACTCGTGGTCGTGTTAAAGGTATAGTGAGCTGTATGACAAGTTGTCTAAATGCAATCAATCAACTGCACGTTTGTGAAGTAGGCATCGAGAGACGCCTATTTTATGAAGGTTAGTGATATCACCTCGCTGCCCAAACCTCGGCAGGTTGAGCGGGTTTTAAACCCCCTACCCACTGGCTGCAAGTGAACCGCCTGAACCAATGAGCTACAGTGTTCATCAGTGGTCTCAGCTGTCTTTCTTTATAGTTAAAAATATCATTGCATGCTTATTGAGGTCTTTCTCTCCTCATCTAGCAAGTAGGGGTGCAGTTTTGCTCTTCAAGTTCAAACTACTGCTTCAGGATCGTCTGAAAACAGGAAGTAAAGAGTTGAACGTGTGGGATCATTTCACACACTTGTAAGTTGGATAAGCCTTGGTGATGGATAAAACCTGAGCATGGATACAATAAATTTTCTTTAGATTCACGCCGCTTGTGGTCTTGATGAGATATCCTATTGGATGCCTCGGGACTGAGTGTGTAGAGGCTTTATAGTGACTTGTTGGTGTCTAATAGCGTTCATCCGTGATGTTTTCATCTATAAATAAATATATCATAGAAATGTTTATAGGAATCCGCCTCTGGCACTCTGACTTCACAGGGAATGATTTTGTCTGAGGAAATTGCTTAGGTGAGAATTGGAATAGTATAATTGCCTGTATCATACCGTATTATACTTTTAGCCAATATCCATCATTACTACAAATAGAAAATAGGAATAGTTTGCCTTGATAACTTATCTGATAGTAACGCGTGATAACTTTCCACGTGTCAATCACTTCACTCTGAAAGTCGCGACAGACCTAGTGCGGTGGTTGTTGCTGCAATCTCGGAGAGGATGCAAAAGATTGAATTACGTCTGCCAACCTACAGCACTGATAAAGTATTCTAATGTCTGTCGATTCTCGAATGCTGATAATTTTGTAAATCTTTACTAGTTACATCAGCTGACCAACGTCAAGACAGCTGATTCCGTGTCAGATATGTTAATGTGTATCAGTTGAAGCTGTAGAGCTTTGGCATATTTAGATAAGTACTTGGTTGTGGAGTTGCGACTTCGAAGCCTATTTCACGTATAGGGGACAACGGAATCAAGCCGTTTTGCGCTGTCTATATTCAATATTTTCAGCTTGAAGCATTGGCCTGTCTATTGTTACCGAGTTGGGACTTTAAAATATTCGTATCCAATGATGTAGTTTGAGACATTTTCACTGAGTTATTCAGAATTGATCACTGAAGGGTAATATAATTTTTTTTCTCGTCTTAAGAAATAAATAAAGTTGTCATTGTTTGTTTTTTTGGGTGTTGGGTATTTGAATGCAACCTACAGGAAGCTCTGAAGTTATATCTGCTGCTTACTGGCATTCATCAGTGAACCACATCTTAAACCTTGTAGGAATTTACGTCGTCCCAAAATCTCTACATTCATCATCCAGCTCTAAAGTCAGATTTTTATTGTTATTGACTGTAGTTGTATCTTCTTATTTTAACTATTTAGATCCTGATTATTTTTTTAATGAAATAACACCGGGAACAATTAAATATAAAACTAAGATGATAATGACAATATAAGAGTACAAAGGGGAAGTTGAAAAAACAAAAAAAGGAATGAAGCACACCAAGACCAAAATAAGCTAAGGCTAAGGTAGATACAAAGATTGTACAAACTTCTTTTTCACATAGATATCAGGCTTCAATTCATGGATAGCCAAGGCCTCTGCTAGTTTTAGACTATTCAGTCTGTCAACAAGTATCCGAGAACATATTCCTGCCTAGTTTTATAAGGGTGAAATGAAATACATCAGAAGTCCTATCCTTGAACATTTAATCGATTCCAACCATTCAACCGACCCAAACAATGATTTTAAGGTTGTCTATCAAATTCGTTTCATCCGTGTTCAACTTTTAAAAACAACAGAGATATTGGCTATCCATGAACTGAAGCCTGACATTTATGTGTAAAAGAAGTTTATACAATCTTTGTAGCTACCTTGGCCTTAACTTATTTTGGTCTTGGTGGGCTTCAACTTCCTCTTTGTACTCTTATATTGTCATTATCATCTTAGTTTTATATTTAATTGTTCCCAGTGTTATTTCAACTTTTAACAAAAACATTTTCAATTTATTTCTTGATGTCATTTTATTTTTTCAGATTAGTGATATCATGTGAAAAGGACAAGAAGGTTCTTGTTGATCAGTTATGTCTGTTAAGTTGGTCTCTATTTCTTAGCTGCTTGGCATGTCTTAACATATCTTCAGCTATTGTACTTAGTATTCCAATTGTCCCGTTACTACATCTACTCGTAAAGAATAATATCGAAGTTGAAAAGTATGCTATTGATTCCTTTTTTTTTTACTTTATACATTTAATTATTGTTAATAACTTTGAAAAAGATAAAAATAATAAGGATTTTTCTTAGATGAATAACAAGATGTAGATGTTCAGACTAGATTTTCCTCTGAACTGAAATTTTTGCTCGGAAACATTTCATTACCGTGATAAACGTGACTATTTATGTGTTTAGGAAAGCAGCTCAATTGGTTTATAGGCATTTCACCTGAAACATTGATTGCTTTTCAGTAATGCGAGTAATTAATGATATGGGTAACTCATGTTGGTAAATTGTGCATCTGAATCTCAACTTCGACAGTTGAGTTTAACCAGTACTCAGTTGTTCATAAAGTTGACAGGAATGGAAATAGGATAAATTGTCAGAATTTCTTAGCAGGTATCTGACATGAATACATGATATAACTTATTGTCTTTGTCAGTCAACCGAAAACCTCGGCTTAAGCAGAAAAAAAGCCAGATACTGGCGGTAACAGGGGGCTATAACCTCCGGTTACACTCCATTTTTATTGTTATAGAGTATTTTTCCGTAAAATAAAGTTAACTTAGACTGATTCATCACTTTACACACCAAGAAACTTAGTCACCTGTTGGTCGAAGCGTATGGTCACCTATCTGGTTGATTGAAGTCAACAAGAAACTTGTCTTGTGGCAAGGTTGTAGCTAAGATTTTTCGAATAATTGATCATTCGCTTAACCGACTAGGCTACAAGATCCTACTTCTAAACCTGCCTCGATATGTCCTATTAACCGAAGCAAGATTAGGTTTGACGGAAACTGAAGGTTGGAATTCATCATGGACTGACACCAGCTGTAAAAAAATTGGGAACCTGAGATCACTGGACAGCTGTTTCGTCCTATTATGGGGCTCTCCACCAGTGCGCACCCTTCAAGTTCTGCAGCCGGCACGTTGCCTTTGAGCCACTAAGCCGGGATCCACATTTCCTACTTCTGTCAGTTCATGAAATAGCGGGGCCTCCATTCAAGTCTTCATTAATGACTAACTTCGAGAGTTGATTCCCGAAGTTTGGGTGAGAAGTCGTAACCAGTGGAGTCAACCACGTTGAACATGAGAACAGTTACTCAGCGACGACATTGGATGTAGGTCGCGATATGTCGTGAACTGAAAGGAGTAGGAAATGTGGACCATGGGATCCCGACCCAATGGTTTAATGTTAACTTGCTGGCCACGGGACCTGAGGGTCCTGGTTTCAATGACTGACGGTGCGGAGTGATCTGTGCGCACCGCTGAGGAGTCCGGTACAAGTGGGACAAGACAGCTATTGAGTGCTCCCAGGTTTCCAATGTTCCTCCTAGTGATGTCAGTCCATTATGAATTCCAACCTGAATCCAAATAATATATCGCCACAAACCTCCAGATTGAAAGCTGAAGGTGTTGATACCACAATAGGATACTAGCCTATGAAGTCTCTGACTGATAATCTGAAACACACAGAGAGAAGTAAACTGTCTGTTGTTTGGGATGATAAACATCATCTAGTTTGACTTATTTCTTTTGTCCATTTCTTCTTTGCATGGTTCTGTGAAGTATAGTAACCAGGACTGATTTATTTCTACATCGATTTGTCTGCCTGTCTATGTTAACTGCTAACTAGATCTCATTATGTTTCAATAGGGAATAGGGATTGTCAAAAAACTGATGTAAATTTTATTTATATCTGGTTATGGAAGGATGGTTTATCAACATCTTAAGAGAAATATCTACCTGTTGGATACTAATCAGCAATAGCAAACTTTCTGATAAACTTATTCACTATATTTTGGTGTTTAACGTTAAAAATTCACTTATTCTGTCCGTCCATAATGAATAGTCTGCTGGTGAACATGCTTCTTCTTTTTTAACAGGTCGTGTACAACCAAACTGATGAAGTGTTTTATCTCATTCTGTTGCTTATTGGTGTGTACTCCAGTTTTCATAATCCTAATGTGTATCATTAATTCATATATTGAACATCAAGGCCATCCAACAACATTAAGTGTTGAAAGTATTCGAAAATGTTTTGAGAGATGCGTGTTACAAAGCTTAGTTGAAGCAGATCTTTTCGGCTGTTGGACATGGTCAGTTATAACGTGTGGATATACGTCATTGTGGTTGTTAATATGGTTAACTATTTTCTGATCAATATATGTTGGAGCATTTTTCAATCACAATACTCAGTCCTTGTTGTTTATCTTTTTATATGTTTATTCTCTAATTGTCTATACCATTGTGGTAGTGACACAAATGTCTCCGTTATTTTGTTTAGTGAATGAAGTGTGCCCATTTGATATATTGGGGTTAGTGTTTGTCTCTTTTCTATGTAAGTCAGAACTGCATATTTCCTCAGATGCAACAACATTTGAAGTAGAACAATATACATTCGTTTTGTTTCAGAATTTCTCATAAGCTGTTAGTAAAATTAAACAATTTTCATATCGAAAATTTGATAAAAGTGTTTTGTTGATTTCTCGGAAAACTATCAGCTAAAAGAGTAGATAAAATAATGTGAATAATTAAATTATCATTTTGATTATCTGAGATAGCCGTAGTTTAGCAGACTGCTAGGTAATAACTGAAGATGAAATTAAAATTAGGACCGCGGTGGGATTCAAATTAGCAACCGCTGGGTTTCCGACCTGATGCTCTACCAACTGAGCTACGAGACCCGACTGCTGACCAGATTTTTATTTCACTTCAATCACCCTTTCTAATTCAGTTAGATTTAGATTAAGATGAAAAGTCCTGACTGGGTAGCCAGTATGAGTACGAGCGTCACGAATTCACATGGTAGCCGGTCGAAAACCCTTGATGATTGAAGTAAAATAAAAATCTGGTCTGCAGTCAGATATCGTAGTTCAGCTGGTAGAGCATCAAGCAGGAAACCCGGTGGTCGCTGGTTCGTATCCGGCTGCGGTCCAAATTTTCATCTCACCTTCAATTATTACCCAGTATGAAGAATTAAAATTCCAAGTAATAATTGTATTTCTCCAAATTCAGAGAATCCACTAGACTAACAATGCCTAAGTGGTTTATTGTAATCATATAACGTGACTCAAAATGATACTATGAGTTTATGCACTAGACTTTGAACCTTACATATTCTGTTAGGCTACGTGATTACTGCCCGACTGATCAGTCCAAAGTGGGTGGAACGGGATTTGAACACTGAAGTGACTGCTTAACAATTGAACGCTTAGGTCGGCGAACCATGTTGACGAAGAATGATTGTTAGATATTTTTGGTTGGTTGTTAGTTTATTCACAATATACCTATCATAGTGACAATTAATTTTTGAAGTTTCCTACGATCAAAGCTATGACTCTAGCCTTCAGCTTTTGTCTAAATTCATGGACTATAGTCCATAGAAAGAGGGTTAGAAAAAACGGTGGTCGTTTCTGTGAAGAGGACTGTATAGATTAACAGTCAACTCCACTCGTCTGACCGATTAATGAGTAATGTTTAGGAATATTGACACCCTTTTAGTACTTTCCAAACTCCAAGCTGTTGATTTGCTCCTCATTATAACTTTGACATGATGTTGCACGATATACTTTTGTTGACAGATATCTTAATCCTCACGATTAATACTGACTAGAAAGGGTCTTGGCTTAGCTGTAGTGAAAATTTAAACAAGTAGACTTGAAAATATAAAAATGACACCTCTAGTACAACTTACACTACAAAAAGTAACAACTATTTAAGAAATAAACCTATCGAATAGCATTAACGTGGGGAATACACATACTCTTAGTCACATTTAGGGATACATGAGGTGATGGGCGTTTACTGGAGTATCAATTTCAACTCCAGGCGCTAGTACTGGCTCGTGTATGTCTGCACCTTACTGGCCGCAGGAAACAGGCGATAGGAAAACCTGTCTGTGGTCGATTGGGAGATAAAGACACCAACTGCGTATTAGGAGACGAGTTACTTAAGCGTTTATCTGAACAGCACTGCACTCGTCATCTTAAGGAAACGTGGCATGATACTAAGTCAGCTGTAGAAACAGGGGTAAAGACAGTTGGTGACCTGAATCCAAAGGTTAGGAAACATCATTGGGTTTCCACAACGTCATCGCAACTAATTATTGCGAGACGGGTGATGTCAGCTGGCTCTAACCACAACAGAGAGCGAAATAAAGTTTAACGTAAGTTGACCAAGAGTCTTCGCAATGATCGTGAGCAGTGGGCATGAGAGATGGAGAAGGCATCAGTGTTGGGTAACACCTGGCAACTATTTAGGTTTATTAGGGATACTGGCAAGAAGCAGACGATGGTGAGTTAAACCATCACCGAAAAGGATGGGATACTGATAATCTTCCAGGACAGGCGGCTTGAACGTTGGGCAAAACACTTTGAAGCACAGTTCAGCTGGGCCTCAGTTGCCCAACCTGAATGGGACGTGGGTGTCAGTCCTCCAACTGTCCTTGAAGTTGATAATGCTGTATTGAACGTGAAACGATGCAAAGCAGCACAACTTGACAGTTTGCCACCTGATATTTTCAAGGATGGAGGTAGGAAATTGGTGATTGAAGTGAAGGAGTTACTAGGTAGTGTATAGGAATGTGAGGTAGGGCCGTCAGACTTTACTGGTCACCCAAGTCTATATCATCAACTAATAGAAGTAGGAAATGTGGACCATTGGATCCCAACCCAATGGTTCACTGTTAACGTGCTATCCACAGAACCTGAAGGTCCTGGTTTCTATAACTGTTGGTGAGCGGTGATGGGCGTGCACTGCTGAGGAGTCCGGTAAAAGTGGGACGAGACAGCTGTCAAGTGCTCCCAGGTTTCCAATGTTCCTTCGAGTGATGTCAGTCCATGACGACTATACTAGATTCACTACTGACTGATAAAAATGATGCACTAATTAGACCGATTCTGTTTAAATACTGAACAGACATTACACTTGGTTGGAGCTTGTTTCATCAACAATATACTCAGATCGACTCAGCTATGTATTTCATCCCAGTAGTTCAAACAATTCTACTCCCGGAGCTTAATCTATCCATGTACGCCGTTAATGAGCTCAGCTTCAGATTAAGCGAAATCACTTTTCGTCATTCATATCAGTTTTTTTCTATCTGGCACCAAAAATAGGCTTGGTGTAATTGTTTAATTGACCTTTGAAGTTATTCCAGAAATCTATTTACAAATCTTTAGCAAATAGTCTTTTTTCATACCAACTACCCTTCATATTTGCGAAAAAGTTTAATCTCACTACTGAAATAAGTATTTCAGCAAATTCCTGCATATTAATTATTCTGTAGTTTATATGTATGTGTACACAAACATCTATTAATCACCTTTTTTTTTATAATTCTGCTCACTCATAAGATGACTGACTATACGATAAGGCATTTCAATACTTAATCAATATCTACTATTTGTTGCCAAAATTGATTATTGCGTAATCAATATAATTCAAACTTACAAATGAATGATTACTACTATATTGTTAACATTCATTGAGTTATATACTACTAGTGTCAATGAAAACAGCAGCAACTTAAATTTTACATTTCTAATCGTGGCGACTTTTTAGATAATTTGTTTTTCATAGCCATGTGACTGAAAATGTATTCTACTTTTCTTAAGCATGTATATTACATGTTATTTATGTGACAGTCATCACTCAGTAACGATACTAGTCTGTCAAATTACAGCTATATCAGATAGTTAAATGATAACAGCCATTTGTCAAACACAGTTACTAACAAGACGAAATATTGTTTAGTTTTGCAAACGTTTGGTCATTTTACTACAGTTCTCATTTAAACTTAGCAATCTTGATGTACTTACCATAATATTTTGACTAGTTTCCGTCGTTCTGAACAGTTTTTCTTTTGAGATTCGTCAAGTTAGTATATCCTATAGTATTATTCACTGGATGACATTTCGTGTACAACATAGTACTCACAATCATCATAGTGTGATACTTGTCAGTAGTGCTTATCCAAGACCAGCTACTCAATGCTTCTATGTTTGCAGGAGTTCTCCGACTGATGTCAGTTCAGTCTATTTGACCGCACAACAATTACATGATATTTTGTAGATAAAAATACTTTGTTTAACATGATCAGTAAGATGTTAAAGTCGACAAGGTTTCTTTCTGAGTTATGATATGATTGTCAACCTAAGTGTTCACTTGTGAGTAGAAGTCTCTCCTGGTCTGTATACGGTAGCATTATAGAAACCCTGTATTGAAGGAAGAATGAATACTTCAACAAAGAATCCTTTTTCGGTTAATACATTTTCAAAGCTGTACAATCGTAAATTTATACATTTTTCTAGTTTAAAGATTTGATAATTAAAAATAGTTTGTCAGTCATGGCAACATAAATAGTGACAACAACTGAAGTGAGCTGTCATTAAAATCAAAAAACCAGAAAACTGATGAGTAGTGAATATTAATCAAAACATTTCGTCGACCTTGTAGACGACATCAGCACTAACTTCAGTATGAAGTGAGCTGTTAATATCTCTCTGTGAGTGATTTGGTAGCTTGCCTTGACGAAGTGTTCTGTGATTGGTTGTTTCCTTTGATTGCTGTCATTGACTGTATAGATTTTCGACAATATAGGAATTTTGGGCAGAGGAAATACAAAAAATATCAGAGAATTCCTAGAAGCGTGGCATTCAGGTCAGTCAGCAATCAAAAGATGTGTAGACATAGACCAAATCTATCAACCAATAAGGAAAATGATAAACGACAGAAAGTTCAGAGGTGAAGCGGAGGAATAGCCAACAGGAAAGTCAATACAATCAACGACACAACAATCGAAGGGAACAACCAATCACAGACCACTTCGTTAAGGCAAGCTACTAAATCACTCACAGAGAGATATTGACAGCTCACTTCATACTGAAGTTAGTGCTGATGATGTCGTCTACAAGGACGATGAAAGCTTCACGATTAAACAACTCAGCTCAGAGAACATGATACAACCAAGACCATCCACCTGAACTACAAATATTCTCAACTGCTTCATTGATCAAAACAATTTTAAACAAGTTTCGTAACATGATGACATAATTGGAGACTGAATTGTGATCAGGCGGAACATAACGACAAGAATGAGTAGCAGATTACTTAAAAAGTGAATAGTGTCAAAACAGAAAGATGAGAAGAAAAGACGAGGGGAAGAGGAGACTGGAAACTAAGACCGTGAAAGTAGAAGGGGTTGAAGAATCTTCCTTTGTGTACACATTTCAGGCTCCTCCATTTGGATGACAAGAGCTTCGGCGATTCAGAGAATACGAAGACATACAGCCTTTGGGA